ATGTTCAAGTCATTGCCAATACGGAGTATATTTCTCATATCTGGGCTAGTGTAAGCGCTTGACTTAGAATTTTACTCTACTATCTAGAATCACATGCTCTCAGACTATATTTAACCCTTTAAATGCCAGGAGACCTTGTCTTTATGTGTGTTCTACACCCTGTATAATGGGATTTCTGTCAATTAACTGTTTGACACTATTCTAAGTAATAATTTTCATTTTTTTATTACCGCAATACCCTCTATCCGTAGGCTCTCCGTGGTAAAAACTCTCCGCTAAGTTTTTCCAAAGAACCATTGTATGATTTTCTACAATATATGAGTTTATATAAGTCAAATTTAATCGCCATAACACAATATTTAAGATAAAATATAAACATATAATAAAAGGCCTTTCAAAATGGTTCTTATCAATCATTCTTTTATCATTTGTTCAGACATTCCTTTTCATTTATTCTTTATTCTTAATTAGAACACAAAGTAAACAATACGAAACTTCATTAAACTTTCTTTTAAACATTTTAAGAGAAAGTTTCGTAAAAAAAGTTCAGTAGTTTTGTGAGTTATATTGTAACAAACATACATCCATGGTTAAAATTATCCATTCTATGTTATTACACAATAAATTATATTAACAATATTCCTCTCATATATAACGGCAATTTATTTAAAGGATATTCTTCCTTTTTCTCTATTATTTTAAAACTACAAAAAAGTTAAATCGATTCTCACAGTATTTACTATGTTTTATGACTGAAAAACTATTAACACTGCGTCTGTAGTCAGAAAGTGAAAACTTGTGGTAAGTTTAGTATAAAAGAAAATACTTCTCACTTTGTTTCTTATTTTTATTTTCTCAAATATGTACGTATTATAATTTTAACTATTATAATATTATGTACCAAATTAAAAGCTTATTACAAAGAAACTAAACATATCAAAATTAAAATTAAGTATAGGTAGTATGAAAAAACATTATTATAAATAATGTTTTTTATATAAGGTTTAAAATTCAAATTATTTCCTTAGAAATATTCCTTGAAAATTACCTTAATCCCACTTGTTCATAGCTTGTATTGTACAATTTTCAAGTACTATAGAATTTAGGGCTACAAAACTACGAAAATGATAATACCTGAACTTTAAATAAAGTTGAAAGAATTTCATTAAGTATTGAAGTCGAGTCACACATTACAAGATATATGGTAGTCGGGAAACCATTCCGTATGAACGACGGCAACATAAACACGCATTTCCGGGAGGCGTAAATAAAAGCAATGTAAGAATTGACATGACGAGCCGTTTCGTTGAATTTATATAAAGTTAGAGCAATACATATCTCGATTGTGTGATAATTAAACGAGTTCAATGTTTAAATTATATGAAAATTTCGATTATCATAAAATAGGTAAAATTTAAATGCTTTATTATTCTCAGGTTACTTATACGACAGCATCTTTTAACTTGTTTTCATTTTGATCTCAATTAAAACCATTATTTATGGGAGACGTTAAAAAATTCCATTGTACCAATGGTACTGTATATTTTTCTCTCTAATTCGCTATAAATATATATGCATACATTATGTTGAGAATAAACGCTTTTGTACTACATATGTCAATCAGAGATATCATCAATAAATCAATTTCAAAGTATGAAGTTATATTAATAAGGAGAAAAGAAGGAAAATATAAGCCCTTTAAGGACACCAGATATGGGTACCTTATTTAAAAGTTTAACATTTTAAATGTAAAACAAATACATAAATTAAAGTTTTACTAGAAAGATAGCCTTAAAAACGATTTATTTCCGTACATAAAATAATATTATTTAAGAGAAAAATGCTAAAAATATCGTGATCAATAGTATTAAAAGCGTTAGAGAAATCGATTAGACCAACACAGTTAATTGTCCGTAAGAATTTGGTATTTTCAATTATTTAGTAATAAGAGGAACATTCGAACAAAATACATAAATTAAAACGACGCATAGAATTCTATAAGTTGTAAATTTTAATTGTGTGATAAAAACTATATTTTTCTATTACACGCTTCCTACTGATATTATTATGTGAAAGTTTGTTATGATGTATGTATGTATGTTGCTCTTTTACGTAAAAACTACTTAACAGATTTTGATGAAACTTTACAGTTATATAGCTCAAAATTGAGGAAAAGACATAGGCTATAATTTAACTGAAAATCCCGAACAGTTCCCGCGGGATCGTTGTATAACAGTTGTATTGTATATGAAGTTCCGTCATACATTAAAGATTTTGCTGCAAGATGATTATACTATGATTACCGTATCTATTGTTCTTCCACGACTTAAATATTTCTCTCTGAACCCAATCTCGTAATTCACTAGAAAGAAAAAAATAATTATAAAATGACACTAACAAAATAAGTCCAATGACCAGAAATTAAACCAAAACGTTGAAATTGGATGTAGAAAAATATGTTCGTAGATATAATTCCAATAATAGAGTATACATTACAGTACACTATTATTATACACTACTATTCAAGTGTGTTCTTACACTAATTATCCCTACTAATAATATTATAAATGCGAAAGTAACTCTGTCTGTCTGTCTGTTTGTTACGCTTTCACGCCTAAACCACCGAACTGAAATTAATGAAATTTGGTACAGAGATAGAGTTGACCTTGAAAAAGAACATAGGATAGTTTTTATACCAGATTTTTGAAAGGTTCTCTTGCAAACGCGATATAACCGAACTCCACGCGGGCGAAGCTGCGGCCGGAAAGCTAGTATACTACTAAAGTTATGTAATAGTTACCTCTTTTTATAACTAAAATTATAAAAGACTTCAAGACAAAGCGAGATTAAAATTGCTTGCAGATAGTTAATAAAATAGATTAAAACACAGCAAAATGTTTGTTTTGTATAGAGTGCACAGACGGTAGATGGCGCTTACACGTATCATGTACTTTTTTAAAATTTATCCTTATTAATTTTCCTTTGTATCTAAAGCAGAACTTCTAATGAACGAAGTCGAGTGCAAAAGCCAGTTATATAAAGTAATGGATTACCTATCACTTAGCTTTCTCGTTTCAACTTTCTTATCCTATTTTAGATTTATTAAACTAAAACATATAAATTATATGATTGAATACCTTTGCTCATAACGTTCGTCCTTGTCAGTGCTCAATAGATATTTCTTACTTCGTATTATAGCAGCTATCAAGCACTAAAAGCATCGTCAAAATTGGTGCAGCCGTTACTGAGATTAGCTGTAATAAACAGATAGATAGGCAAACAAACATTGCCAAATATACCTACTATGTACCAAGCCTATGGATTTAGTAGGGAGCGGTTAATTATTACTTAACATTATATACGTGCATATATGCATACATACATAAACATTATGTTATAATACCAATAAAATAATAAAGCTTCTCTTAGGTCTTTATATATAAAGTAATACATATATTAATTTAATATCATTGCAGTTTTTTAATCCAGATACCTCTATCAGATACGAAATATATATGTACATATATGTATATTATGTCAGTACATTCGTTTCTAGTCACGTCACGGCCTGACCTAGGTCACTCTTACACTCATCTCTACATACAGCCTCCCACGCCGCGGGCTGCAAAAATATCTTACAGCGTACGTTCTTATTTTTAGATAAAGATATGCTTTTATGTTACAAAGATTATCTTTTCATACATAGTGATGTTTACTGAAAGAAAACTAGTTTGAATTGAATTTATTTAAATAGAATAACTCATTTTTGCCACGTATATAATACGTCTACTCCTTGAAGATTTAGGTATTGTATCCACAATAGCTTAATTTTGTATATCACTCTAAACACGGTATTTCAGAAGTTTGAGGTTCGATTCTTGCTCTGGCCTCTCTTTATTATTAATAAGATTTTTAACTCAAGTATTTCTGTATTCTTAAATGGAAAGAAAATTATTGCCTGTTTATATATTTAACGAATAATGAAAATTTATCAATATTATAATAATTATATAAATTTCGTTACTAACGCTTCATACTACGTTAATGTTATAGAAAATTGATTTTTTAGCTTATATACTTTTGTTTTTGAGTATTAAACTTATATACTTTAGGCATAATATATACATACATAAAAGTCTTCTAGTAAAAGTACATAGAACCAATTAACCATTGTTATTTGCTCGAAATAAATAATTCATTTCTCTATAAGTAATTTATTATTATTTTAACCCTATGTTTTCTCTACCTTATGAAGAATCAAATCATTTTTTCTCACAACTCTTTAAGATGAAAATTTTTGGATAGTTTTATTTTTAATTTTTGTAACGTTTGACAAATTGCATTAATAATTACGATATCGGAACTGAACAATTTTATTCTTAATACTATCGATGCTAAAATATTGATAAGTCACACAGCCTAGAGTTCAACTTCCAGTTCATCGACTGATTAAAATGATAAACATGTGCTTCACGTAAACTTTTATCATATCCAGAAATATAACTTTTAGGCAAAATCATCAAAATTAACAAAAAAATATAGTCAAAGATTTAAAATACAAAATAATGTACATAATTTGAGTTTTTTAAATACAGTAATAGTATATAATTATTAGGTATAAAAAATATATGCATATTTATTAGTAATCTATTTATATATAGGTATATAGTTGTAAATAATAACTATATACAACATATTATATGTGTTAATCATTTAATTAATCAGTTACTTCAATTTACTTTTACAGTTACATTATAACTTTTTCATTAAAAAGAATAAAAAACTATTAAAAAAATATAATAACAACTAACTTTGCTATATAAAGATTCTACTGAAATAAACTTACAGATTATAATTCTCATACAATTTGTGCGTGATTATATTTTATTATTATTAGTCCTTAAACAGCTAACTGTTATTTTCGATTTGAATTCTCATACAACTTTAGTTCCCGTATATTTTTGGTGATAATGATTTAAATGTTTTTTTCCAGGTGTGGTATGGATAAGGAGAACGGTGAGGACCCGGCTTCGAAGCCGCCTCCTGATGGACTCCTGGACCCATCGGGACTATTTGGAGGTGAGATACAGCATCACACATCTGTTCAAACACAAGATTAAAACATTAGCCAATTAATTATTACCATTCGTTTCGTTTTCGTACGTCGTAGTAATGAAATTAATTAATATCAGTACATAAATTGATAGATTTAAGAGTGATTACTGATAAATTATTAAACTAGTTTTGCTCGCTACTTTGTCCGCGATGATATCGGCATTAGTAATATGCATAGCTGACCGGGCGAACTCTATTCCACCCAAAAGGCTATAAATAACCAGATATTGGCCTTTATTATTTTTTTTTCATTTTCGATCGAACAGAATTAAATATCCTATGAGTTTTTTTGATTCTAAGCATCCTTCCCACCAATTTTCATCCAAAACTGAATAGTCGTTCTTGATTTCTAAATAGTGTAACTAATACAACTTTCTTTTAAATGTATATGATTTCCAATAATTTAACATTCAATAAATATATTTGTTGGTTACTTTTTCCATTCAGTATTGATCGTATTATATCAATCATTGTATAGTCAGTCAATGTTTTTCAAATAAATAAAACATATTTTTTCCCAATTCATAATCTTAAATTCTCATGTATAATTTTGTATGTCTTAGGTTCTGTACACACGATGTTATAAACCGTTTTGAATAACTCATCTCTGTATTTCGGTTAAGAGCCTCGACTAGCGACTTATGTCTAAAAAAATGTGGAACTAAAAGGCTGCTTATGTCTTTAACTGACCTTAAAGAAAGGTGATTATAATTTCGACGGTACATTATTTATGAATTTATTTTGATCTATTTATTTTAGTTGTATACAAGAAATACAAATCTCTTATTTATATGAAATATTAAGATATTTTTTACTTTTTTTCTTTAAAATACTGATTCAGTCAAAAAGTATTCGGGTTATTTAAAAAAGTTACAATTTTTATTTCAATTTTCTTCAATTTAAAAAGAAATCTTCAAGAAAACTTAAAAAAAATCATAAGACTTCTTTTATATCCTACTTACCCTACTAATATTATAATTGCGAAAGTTTGTGAGTGTGTGTGTATGTTTGTTACTTCTTCACGCTCAAACGACTGAACCGATTTTGATAAAATTTTGTATACAGGAAGTTGACGTCCAGAAATAACACATAGGCTACTTTACATCCCGGAAATCCGCGGGTAACACCGCGGCCCGCAGCTAGTTATATATAATTTCAATCAATTTTATATAAGAATAAAATTAATATCAGTTCCAATACTTGTATAATACCTAACTCTATATATCCCATACTGTAATAGACCTTTCATTTCTTCGTACGTCATGCATTACAGTTAAAAGTAAAGCACTCATTATACAATTGGATGCCTTTCCGTCTTGTCAACATTTCTTAGTGCGATCTTCTCAGTCTACCTTTATATTAGAGCATGCGAATATCAATCTTATGTCACTGTAATAGATTACATAATGTTATGTGCGGTTTTAGTCAAGCGCAAAGCCAGTCGTTTTAAGAGCGGTAATCGATTTTGATCCATAAATAGAAGTAATAAGGACGAAGCGCACATCACAGTCGTAGTGCGGCTTATGTCGTGATTTAAGGACATACTATTTGATTATGGTACTTATCACGTGTGTATAAGGTTCAATATGTTAGTGACGACTGTTACACCATAAAACGTAAACTCGCTTCGAGGTCATTACCCTCACATCTATCGCATTGCGAACAAATGTACATTTGCGCATACAATGGTTCATATTACAATGTAATACGGTTTATTTTAGTGGAACACGTGTATGAAACGTTTGTTAAACAAACTTGAATTATTAGGGAATCTAATAATATGGCTGTTAGGAGTTAGACGTGGAATTACATTACGGTTCCTACGGAAATAGGCTGAGTCACATTTAGAATGGAAAATAATAACATTGAAATTGACAATTATAATAATTGTACATGTAAATTGTGACTCAGGTCGCCCAGCACTAACTGTATGATTAATTTAATGCCTTAAATATATCTGTCTAATTAAAATAGAGACAGTTTTAATTAGTGCGATTTCTTTATGAGAATTTAACAAGATGGCGTCTTAAATGCTTTAGAAGTAAAATACGTACTTAGAACGATATTAATGCACTTATGTAATTGTAAAATTAATGTATAATCTGTATCAAGTAATAATTATATTAAATAACAACTGATGTATGTATGTTCATAAACCTTGAGTCTAATATACTGTTATTATAAGAAATCATACGTATTTCAGTTCGTGATTAGTGTGGCTAGAATTATTTGTTAGTTGTTAAACATAAATCGCTTGAAGCATCTTCTGTATACACGCACACACACACGCACACACAAATACGTACGCACACACACACATACACATATATGTATAATTGTAACTATAATTATGCTAATTCCATTTTATTTTTAGGCTAACAAAAGATGAAAATAGATCTATCTTCTAGTTTATTTAATAATATATGCTTTATGGTCTATATATGTATATACAAAGAAAAAATCTCTATAAATATTAAATACCATATTTTTGCATGGTTTAACAAAAAAAAACACAATTTTTTAATTTTTTATTAGTCTCACATGAAGAAAAATATACAGGGTGACTGGTGAATTACTATCAATATTTAAGGAGCATACTCGGTACATGATTCTCATTCGAATTATGTAAAAAAAATAGGTACTTAATTTTTGACCAAATTTCCGTATAAATAAATAAAGTGTTGACACGTTCCAAGTGTTCCTAGTGTGGACGCGTACGGCGGCGTGCTGATACAACAACATGCCGCCGCGCGCGTATGTGTGAGTGTGTAGTGTAGAGTAATCTGTAGGGTGTTCATACGATGCGTGATTAATTACACAACTTTTGGTTAACTTTACTTAGAAGTTTATTAATATTTATGTTATATTAATTTTTATTTCGTCATATATGATCGTCAAATATCACGTCCTCAAATATCGATAGTAATTCACCAGTCACCCTGTATAAACTTCTACTATATTATATTATAGTATCATAATATTTCTTATATTATTTAATGTTTGACAAACATTAATATGTTCAAAAAGTACTTAATATTTTTTATGTCTTTATCTCATAATATTGAGATGTACATAACTTCATTATATTTAATTATTATTCAAAACAATATACATATATGTATGTATAAAATACTAGCTTTCCGCCCGCAGCTTCGCCCGCGTGGAGTTCGGTTACATAGCGTTTTCAAGAGAACCTTTCAAAAGTCTGGGATAAAAACTATCCTATGTTCTTTCTCAAGGTCAACTCTATGTCTGTACTAAATGTCATTAAAATCAGTTCAGTGGTTTAGGCGTGAAAGCGTAACAGACAGACAGACAGAGTTACTTTCGCATTTATAATATTAGTAGGGATAGATTTCTCGTTGATAGACTTTAGACGTCATATTGTTTCATATTATTTTTTAATTTAATTTCGCCTGTTGCCTATTAACGTTGTGGCCCGGCTTGTTGGATGTAGGTCAAGTTTAGTGTTACTGGGTTATAAGGTCGGATCAAGGACGTTTTAAGGACACTAAACTAGGTCATTATATACTAATATACATTGTTTAATATATTGGGGTATATACTGGTAATAATAAATATATTATTATACATAAATATTTTGGAGTCAATGGTGGCCTAGTGGTTAAAAGACCCGCCTCTCATGCACGAGGGCGCGGGTTCCACCCTGACCCTGGCAAGTACCAATGTGATTTTTCCGAGTCATATGTACTTTCTAAGACTATTTAGACATCACTGATTAATGCATTGAAAAAGAGGGTTGATGTCAGGCAGGAGTCCGGTCGTAAAACAATTAGGCAAAACTATTCACAACTTGTAAGGCAGACCCTGGCTAAAGCTAGGAAATTGCCAGGAAGAAGAAGAAATATTTATTTCGATAGAAATATGTATGTGTTTTCGTAGTCATTGTGTTGGCTGATCCTATGGTTAATTTCTTACAAGGTTGCTTGACTATGTATGTCCTTACAAGCATATACTATCTGAAGAGGTGTCTATCTTTTTTAGATTTAGTTAAAATATCACATATAGGTTACAGAAATGGTAGTTAAATTTGTTTTTGATAAAATTTTGCGATATCTTTAGGGATGTAAGTATCATCGTATTTTAGAGGATTGTTTTCAATTCGTTAAATTTTTCATATATTCTATTTCATTTCGCAAATCTAAAACACTAAACTCTAAAGAAATAAAAATTTAGTCACCAATCCACATCACATTACCGTTGTGGATAATAATTTTAAATAATATTGATATTACGAAATGAGCTCTACACTAAATCCTTGTTATATGTATCCTTGGTGTCCAAATATACAAATGAAAAAATATGTATATTTTATTAACTAAGTGAATACATTCAAACCACTTTAGTTTAATCAAAAGTCTTATCATTTCATAGATCCTTTTAAAATAAAAATATCTATAATTTTTTATCAATACCTCCTCTAGCTTGATTGAACGGAATATTTGTCTTTGTTTGTTATTACATTATTATATTGTTCCAGCGTACTGGGGTCGCGAGGGAGCGTCGGCTGCGCAGGCGCAGGCACAAGCTCAAGCCGCTCTATTTGGCTTCGGGTCGCGGTATCCCCCGCCTACAACACTTGGGGTCGCCGCTAACCAAGCCGCATCGCTTAGCTTACACCCCGCAGCTAGTGAGTATTTAATAAACTATATATTATGTTTTTCGGATTTACTTCCTTTATTTTTTTCAACTTTTCACCCAATCGTAAAGCCTACGCCATCCCTGTATCATCACTGATTAATGCATTCCCAAAGAGGATTGATGTCAGGCAGACGGCCGCGAAAACAATTAGCCAAAACTATACACAACATGTATGGCAGACACTGGCTAAAGCTGGGAAATTGCCAGGTAGAAGAAGAATAATTATTATAATAAAAACTAATTACATTCAACATTGTTTCTGACTATAAACTACACGTTTAATCGTCACACGATTTATAATTTCGTTATACCTCGTTCTAAGATACCTTACATTACTGCAACGCGTGATAGATTTGGGACTGAACTTTCCATGTCATGTCATCAGCCTATCAAAGACCACTGCTTAGTAAAGCCTCTTCTCGCATGGAGAAGGTTTGAGCATTAATCGATGCTCGCTCAAGACATTCCTGCATATTATATAATTTTTATTCACCTAAAAATATCTACAATTCTTTCTTTTTATTTGTATATGTTTGTCATTAAGTGCTAAGGCCGTCATTGCTTATCAAATGGCAGACCAGTTAAAACTATAGGAACCGATGGTCGAAACCCAAAATCACAGCATTTATATTTAAAAAAAACTTCCAATCATGTGAGGTAGATTTGGTTGTCAGTGAAATGTGTAATAATAAAATAAGTTAAGTACAAATAAGTATGAGAAACACGTTTAATTTTAAGGTGTACTTAAGAATCACTAAGTAGTGCGACATTTTGTAACGATACTGATGCCTATTGGTCTTTCATATAAAAAAAAACTCAACAGATATACTCAACGGATTTTAATGAAAATTTCTAACAATGTTGCTTGGATATATTTATAATATAGAGCGTTTTATTTGCTTGTAGTTCCTTGTATTTCAAGAAGGAACAATGTATAAAAGTAGCAATCTGTATGGGCTATAGATGGCTCCTACAAAGGGTTTTCATATTTATTTTATTTAAACGTACATCTTTAATTTGATTTTTAAGTCGACACAGACGAAGTCGCTGTCATCAACTAGTTACATATAAAAGTGATATACGAGAAGTAGTAGATTTGAATCATGTTCTGATAGACTATTCTTTTATTTCAATCTTCTATCTTATTTAAGTATTCACTTAAAATTGCCTTGATATTTCAAAACATAACAATAAGATTATGTATGTATGTACGGTGTTCAAATGAGCCATTCAATAAAATAAATCAAAACTATAATGTGCGAAGAAATACGACTGAATAACTTTTAACGTTCCGTATTTAATGTAGATGCAAACTTGTAGTAAGTATAAATATATAATTGCATTTCGAAGGCAGTACCATCAATCTAAAAGGAAAATCAGTAGAAGGTTAACAAAATCATTGAACTGAGTATTCAGGGCTAACTTGACTTTAACTGTTTGTGTATACATACATAAATAAATAAATGATTTATTATTAACTTGTATTCTATATAATATTGCATAGAAAATATGTATATGTAAGTCAGTGGTGGCCTAGTGGTTAAAAGGCCCGCCTCTTATGCACGAGGGCGCGGGTTCGATCCTGGTAAGTACCAATGTGATTTTTCCGAGTCATATGTACTCTCTAAGAGTATTTAGACATCACTGATTTATGCATTCCCAAAGAGGGTTGATGTCAGGCAGGCGGCCGGTTATAAAAACAATTAGCCAAAACTATTCACAACATGTAAAGCAGACCCTGGCTAAAGCTGGGAAATTGCCAGGTAGAAGGAGAAAATATATGTAGAGAAGTCAAAATTGTACACATACTTTGGTATATATTTTGTACTATGTCTTTTTTCTATGTGATCTTATATTTAAGCTTAAATAATAGTATCAAATATCACATTAAAACTAAGAAGTCATATATTCGTTCGTTCGTACATATACAGGGTGACTGGTGAATTACTATCAATATTTAAGGAGCATACTCGGTACATGATTCTCATTCGAATTATGTAAAAAAAATAGGCACTTAATTTTTGACAAAATTTCCGTATAAATAAATAAAGTGTTGACACGTTCCAAGTTTTCAAGTGTGGACGCGTGCGGCGGCGTGCTGATACAACACTACGTCACGACACGCGTATGTGTGAGTGTCAGTGTATACCTAATCTGTAGGGTGTTCACACGATGCGTAATTAATTACATAACTTTTGGTTAACTTTACTTAGAAGTTTATTAATATTTATGTTATATTAATTTTTATTTTGTCATATATGATCGTCAAATATCACGTCCTCAAATATCGATAGTAATTCACCAGTCACCCTGTATATGTTAATAAATCTATGTAGGTTGTGTACGTAATTGATAAAAATGCTATTAATATCTGTATTACTATAAAAAATCCAATTAATAAATAACGCTGTCCGCTGATTCAGTTCAAAGTGACTACAAATTGGGTTTATCTTGTTAATGCGAGCAAATCAGATTATTGGCTTCCTATACAAACAGAGTCAGGTGAATATAACAGTCTTAGACGGCGTAGTAACAAGTAAGTTAGATATAGACAAACATCAAATAATTTATTATTAAAATATTAAATCAATAGTTTTCGAAATTAACTATACGATTATTGAACACAGTACACCCTTTTATGTATTGGTTAGTTATTAATTTGTCATCGAATAGATTAATTTAAAATATATGTCGTTTACTTTACGTACTTATAAAACCGGCTGTACACATTTGTTACATTGCTTTGTAGAACATATTCCATATGTTGTAACAAATTTTGTGCTTAAAACACAGGAGGTTATTACATGTGTGACTTTATGTATTATAAAGCCGAGTTTAGACGACACTGGTTAAAATAACTGATTAAAGCCTATGATTTACCTAAAAGGTGTACCTACACCTCCGAACCCCTTTCTTAGATTATTCAATGTCCTCTATCCAAAGGTGGTCTGGAAGAGATCTCTCTTTTAGCGATAAGACCGCCTTTTCTACCGTGTTTTCTATTTTGTTGTGTTGCTTCTTGTATTTTTTTTGTTTCGGTGTACAATAAAGTATATTTATCTTATAAAGCCTAATCCACTCCGCTTATTATTATATAAGAGAGAGGAACTTGGACGGTGGTGAGCGTTTAACGGGTGTTAAATAAGGGCTTCTTAAACCTACACCTGGGTCACAAGTCCAAGTCACTGTTGAAGCTCCTCTCACTACAACGATGGACCCGACACACGCACCGTGAATACATGGAATGATGAGAGGTTTCGTCTCTCTATATATATTAAACCTACACCTGGGTCACAAGTCCAAGTCACTGTTGAAGCTCCTCTCACTACAACGATGGACCCGACACACGCACCGTGAATACATGGAATGATGAGAGGTTTCGTCTCTCTATATATATTAAACCTACACCTGGGTCACAAGTCCAAGTCACTGTTGAAGCTCCTCTCACTACAACGATGGACTCGACACACGCACCGTGAATACATGGAATGATGAGAGGTTTTGTCTCTCTATATATATTAAACCTACACCTGGGTCACAGGTCCCAGTCACTGTTGAAGCTCCTCTCACTACAACGATGGACCCGACACACGCACCGTGAATACATGGAATGATGAGAGGTTTCATATTATCTCTTTTCTTATATGTCTGTCTTATATGTGGTTTCTTATATGTGTTCCAGGTGCGGCTTGGTGGTCGATGGCCTCTCACCTCGCGGCTCAAGATTACCTGGCTAGGTTACAGGCATCCGGTTTAAGTTTCCCACCACTTGGTGATCCCTACGCCGCTCTATCAGCGCTCGCTGCTGGCAAGCATAAGCAGAAGACGCCGCGGAATGACGGGTAATGAAATATGTCTTAATATCAAAATGGTTAATAAGTAATGAATGAATACGTTACTAAACAATATTCTAGTTATAATAACTCTAATTTCTGACGGTAACATGTTTAAACCTTATCTCAATTCATCCATTTGAAAGAAAGAAAGAAAAGACATTTATTGACATGCACACGGAGAAAAAAAAATATACAAAAAAGGATATAAAAACAACATTACAAAAATAAAGAAAATGAATATAATTGATATAAAACTTGTGTGCAGTCAAAAGGAAACAGATCAGGCTATGAGGGTTTTTAACCCTTTGCTGATTTTTAGCTGTCTCCCTTGTGGCCACGCAATGACATTTAACATACATACATAAATACATTCAGACAAATACATACATACATATTCTATATACCGTTAGTTCATGATATATATGTAGCAGGTCTGGCCGAGGGTCGTCAGCCAAAGAGAAGCCTCCAGCCACCAGCACTAGCTCTCAGCCGACCATTCCTGACTGGGGTGAGATATATTACTATACTAGCTGCGCCCCGCGGTGTTACCGGGATTTCCGGGATGTAAAGTACCCTATGTGTCATTCCTGGACGTCAGCTTCCTATATACAAAATTTTATCAAAATCGGTTCAGCCGTTTGAGCATGAAGAAGTAACAAAAATTTACACACACTCACAAACTTTCGCAATTATTATATTAGTAGGATTCATACTATGTAGTTACCTTCACAAAGCTTGTACTATCATGTCACAAGTAACTTTGACACCAAAGAGTTAGTTAAAGCATATAGTTTTTGTTAAAAAACCATAGAAAATAGAATCATCATATGGTCCTGATATTTGACAAATATAACTCTAGTTAAATTGTATATTTGATATATAAATATAATATAACATTATTCTAAAATAATGAGATCAATGAAAACCAAATTGAAAGTATGGGATATCTCAAAAAACAGACAGTTGTTTAAATTGTGCTAATCGGAAGGACAATTTTAAAATGTTTATAATAAAAGTTGTAATAGTTTTCTTAAATTTTTTATTAATTAAGGATAAATTCTCAATTTTTTTTTCTTAAGATAGCCTTAATAAACAATTTAAGTATAAAATTATCAAAATCGGTCTATCCTTTCACAGGAACCAAGGGAAATAGAGACTATAATATGTTATTCTTAATTTAAGACTTCTATTACTATTTTATTCTAAAATCGAAGCTACCAGTTAAGAATAATCATTTATTTGGAAATAATATCTATAGAGAAATAAGGTACACCTCGTATTTTCATATTCATTTAAATGAAAATAGTTTTTTTTGGATATTATTCTTTTATTATTTAACAACAACATAATAATATCACATTTCAGTTCCTTACAGCAATACACAGTCTGATAAAATAAAATTTCTCACATTAATATATTTTCTCATATAGATATATATTTAATTGTGAGTTATTTATTCCAGGCTCATCGTACGGATTCCCTCCATCATCAACACCGTCTGGGTCCCTGTCATCGTTGGCATCACTCAACAGTCTCGCACAACAGCCACACTCAAAACACAAGCCGCCCACTAACAGTTAGTATATTACTACATATATAATAATAATAATAATCATTTATTTCAAACCATATTACATAGATCCATATAGTGTTAGTACATTACAAATTAAACTTAATAAATAAATTGGTTAGTAAATTTACAAAAACAAAGCAAAAGCAACTTTATTTATGACTCTTTTTTTTTTAACTAATTATTTCAACTATACAGGGTGACTGGTGAATTACTATCAATATTTAAGGAGAATACTCGGTACATGATTCTCACTCGAATTATGTAAAAAAAATAGGTACTTAATTTTTGACCAAATTTTCGTATAAATAAATAAAGTGTGGACACGTTCCAAGTGTTCCAAGTGTGGACGCGTGCGGCGACGTGCTGATACAAGCCCACGCCACCGACGCGTGTGTGTGTGTGTGTGTGTGTATACCTAATCTGTAGGGTGTTCACACGATGCGTAATTAATTACACAACTTTTGGTTAACTTTACTTAGAAGTTTATTAATATTTATGTTATATTAATTTTTATTTTGTCATATATGATCGTCAAATATTATGTCCTCAAGTATCGATAGTAATTCACCAGTCACCCTGTATATTGATAAATGTGTTTGTTTTTCAAATACATAGATTGGGATCCAAATCTCTAATATAATATGTATAGGATATATAATAATAATACATATTCTATAATTAAAACATGACAGATATAAGCTTTGTTTTAAATGCTAAGATTTTAATATCCTGATCTTTTATTATTTATTTTTTTTAGTAAAAAAACTAACAAGTCCATATAAGGCCATATATATATCTTCACTAATTGATGTAGCTACAAAATGTGTGAGAATATAATATTCCTTATCCCATTATTTAAATTCACACAAAGCACTCACTCTTCATTCAATCTGTCATTGTTTGTCTTAATAATTAATTCATAAAACATACATTTAGTTCTTATTCATTAAAACATTCATTAAATTGACAAAATAACATATAAAATCATAATAATTATTTGGTTATATATAGATACATATACATGTACATATTATTTTTATTACATTTACATTGTTTTCAATACATTACCCTTTACATAGTATTGTTATATGTCGTAATTGATCATTAACTGATAATTATATATGTAATTTACATAAAATTATATAAATACACTATATACTATGTTACATATGTATGTTGTAAATTAAATGATCTTCTTAGAACTACATATTTATTAACTTAGTATTACAAACTATATTTGTCTGTCTGTCTGTTCTGTTTAAACTGTGAAACTGATTTTAATTTAATATATAGATACACTACAAAGAGGCAGTGGCATTGCTATAAGATCTGAATCTACACAACAAAAGTGAATATATATATAATTGAAATATAGTACATGCAGTACTAATGAAACATGAGGATTATGTATGTATGTATATTAAAACAATTTGTCTTTTTACAGGAAAAAGTTCTAGTTCAAATAAAGAGAAGGAGTCTCGGGATTTAATGCTGGCACATTCAGCTTATCATGCAGCACTCACTAAAGGAAAGGTAAAAAGCATATCTATAAATTTTTTACTTGAAAATATGTTAAACTAGACGCGCCCCGCGGTGTTACCCCCGGATTTCCGGGATGTAAAGTAGCCTATATGTTATTCCTGGACGTCAGCTTCCTGTATACAAAATTTTATCAAAATCGGTTCAGCCGTTTAAGCGTGAAGAAGTAACAAACATACACACACCCTCTCAAACTTTCGCAATTATAGTATTTGCAGGATTATATATTTATAGTACAAACTACACTCAAATAAGCCAATAATATGAATAAAGACATTTTAATGTTGTATTTGATGTTATCTTCAAAGACAGTTTGAAGTGAAGGATTTAAAAATATAATTTAATACAAGTGAAATGTTAGCATTACAAAAGGTTATTTTATAAAAAAAACCTGTCTCTTGTATATTCAGTCAATTTGATATTTATGTATAAACTCCACTTTTCAGATATTAATATTAACAAAGATGGTCTTTTTTAGCCAATATTATATTTTCTTTTTAAGTACTATACCACATCCAATATGAAGCCTTAAAAATGTCATTTATAATATATTCTTAATGTCTTTTTTTGTATATGTTAATTTTAATTATAATAATACATATTTTTATCCCCAGGGTATGTCCTCGTTGTATCCATTCGGTACTCCTGACAAAGATCGTCGTGGTATAGACTCCTTCACTGGTTTACCACACACTATACTCAGGTATATAATATACTACATATACAGGGTGACTGGTGAATTACTATCAATATTTAAGGAGCATACTCGGTACATGATTCACATTCGAATTATGTAAAAAAAATAGGTACTTAATTTTTGACCAAATTTCCGTATAAATAAATAAAGTGTGTACACGTTCCAAGTGTTCCAAGTGTGGACGCGTGCGGCGGCGTGCTGATACAAAACCACGCCGCCGCGCGCGAGTGTGTGTGTGTGTGTGTATACCTAATCTGTAGGGTGTTCACACGATGCGTAATTAATTACATAACTTTTGGTTAACTTTACTTAGAAGTTTATTAATATTTATTTTATATTCATTTTTATTTTGTCATATATGATCGTCAAATATCACGTCCTCAAGTATCGATAGTAATTCACCAGTCACCCTGTATATATATAACTATAAATATGTCAGTTTGTTATATCACTAAGTCGATTTTGATTAACCTTTGCAATATAAGGTTATTCTTGATTAAGATATTAGCTGTCATTAATGAAAAAAATTTCTATGTATAGTTTATTAAATGTCTAGTTTCTAGTCAGTTATCGTTTAATAGTACCTTCTTCATATAATTCAAAGACAGTAATATATTTTTCTTGTTAGTGCCGCTCTGGAAGGAGGGTGAGTTTATTTTCATATATTATATAGTTGATTCAAGACACTTATTATCTTAAAGACATTTTTCTTGCTACATTTTAATTTTCTATACTTCTAGATAATGGCTTAACCAATTTTTATGAATATATGTTTATAAACATAAGAATGTATGGTAAATCCGCTGCAAATATTTTGAATGCCCTACCATTAAAAATACATACAACAAAAAAATTCAAGTCATAATCAAATTTTATTATATTTAATTAATATATATTTTTAACCCTAGTCTATCATAATAAAATCATTAATTCAAACAAGGAGTTTCTTAGTAAGTATTTTACTATGAGATTATAATTTGTCTTTGGTCAATTCTGAAGTTATATAACAGACGAAGCAAAGTTCAGAAGCTAGTATTATATATGAGTTTAATATATATGATATTGTTCCAGTGATCCTTCATCAGTCCTAGGAGGGGTTCGGTTGCCTCCAGACACAGAGATTATTAAATATACTTCATCTCTAGCGGGGCCCAAGGTAACATACATATATACATATATTGTTAATAATAAAATGATTTTCCTTACAAAAATATTACATTTCATATTGTTTTCATCACTGTAGAAGTGGTCTTCTTTATATTTACTGCACTATTTATTATAAGAAAAATTTTCTTGGACTAAATATCATTCAAACATAAAAACTTAATGATAAGCATGAGATATTTATATTATTTGTTTAAAAAGTCTTATACATAATTTTTTTAATAATTATTTTCCTAAAAACTAATTAACTCTCGAATTATAAAAGAAATTTATTATTAAATATATATTTAACAGCTTGCGCCGGGGTCAACGACCCGTGGCCGAAAAAAGACCATCTCATTGGACCCGCCGCGAGTGTCGGTACACCCCGCGTCACCCGCCGCGCCGCCCACACCCAACAAGAGACAGAAAGTGGTGGGTTATGATCTAATACATTAAGTATAATGCCTTAACATTCATATGGAAACTATGTATTGAAAATTCGAAACGAGGATTCAAAGCTAATTTAATAGTATAAATCATTAAAATTATATATTTATTTGTTTTAAAGAGATATTTTTTTTATTTTCTATATCAATATATATTCATTTTATATGCAACTAGCTGCGCCCCGCGGTGTTACCTTCGGATTTCCGGCATATAAAGTAGCCTATGTGTTATTCCTGGACGTCAGCTTCCTGTATACAAAATTTGATCAAAATCGGTTCAGCCGTTTGAGCGTGAAGAAGTAACAAACATACACACACTCTCAAACTTTCGCAATTATAATATTAGTAGGATGAAAACCATATACCTCAATAATTATTATAAAATGTTTTTACTTTCAGGATGAGTTCGGTAATTCCCGTTCATCGGTAGAAGTGATCCGTCTGCCTAACAAGCCAGACAGGAACAACGTGCCCACTCCGCCGCCCAACTTGTCGGACTACGCCGGTGAATATATTTTATATTTTTATAATATATTTAATACTAAGAAATTATTATATTATAATGTAACTAGAAGACCCGGCGAACTTCGTATCGCCCTTCGTATAGTGTGTTCGTATTAATTTTCGAATTAGTAATACATGTATGAATAGCTGACCGGGCGAACTATATTCCGTCCTAGAGGCCGTAAATAACCAGATTTGTATTTTGTTCTTTTTCGATTGAACAGAATTAAATATCCTTGTCGGTTTTCTGCTTCTAAGCTATCTACCCCCCAATTTTCAACCATATCCCTACAGTCGTTCTTCAGCTATAAATATGTTCACTGTAAATATTTATATATATGATGATTTGACAGGTATATCACGAGAGTTATTACAAACTATCGCCAGCCAGAGCGGAGTTAGCTTAGCGGCGTTGGAAAGACAGTTACAGCCATCTAACAACGGTAATCAATACATATATATATATATAATACTTCTTCTACCTGGCAATTTCCCAGCTTTAGCCAGGGTCTGCCTAAACATGTTGTGAATAGTATTGGCTAATTGTTTTTTACGACCGGCCGCCTGCCATCAACCCTCTTTGGGAATCATCATTAATCAGTGATATCTAAATACTCTTAGAAAGTACATATGACTCGTAAAAATCACACTAGTACTTGCCAGGATCGAACCCGCGCTTTCGACAACTAGAGGCGGGCTCTCTAACCACTAGGCCACCACTGACTCTTACATATATAATACATACTATGAAATATTATTCATATATATATTCACTAGCTTTCCGCCCGCAGCTTCGCCCGCGTGGAGTTCGGTTATATCGCGTTTCCAAGAGAACCTTTCAAAAGTCTGGGATAAAAACTATCCTATGTTCCTTCTCAAGGTCAACTCTGTCTATACCAAATTTCATAAAAATCAGTTCAATGGTTTAGGCGTGAAAGCGCAACAGACAGACAGAGTTACTTTCGCATTTATAATATTAGTAGGGATAGATATCGTGAACTATATTAGATATTTTCATAGTATATTAATGAATATATATGTTGTAGAATCAGGTCTCAACTTGAGCACCAAGTCGACTAACAACTCTGAAGACGCGCCTCTGGACTTGGGACTCAAAGACGAAGATACTCCTTTGAACCTGTCGCTTAAACCCACACCACGTATGTATAATATTAATTAAATATATGAATTACATAATTATTATAGTATTTTTAATGTCTGAGATGCAGATCCATTGATAAATATATTTACTATTTTTTTCCACTCCATATTAAAAACCATCGAAAGATAAATAATTTTTATGCTTTTAATTCTTGTATTCTTCTTCTATATATACAATTTTTGTATGTAATATTTTGGAGTTTTATAATTTTCTATATACATTTGTATTTGTTTCAGCGAACACTCAAGCCTCCGACGCATTATCGCGACTCACATCATTAAGTAGTTCACTCAGTGCGTCCAATGACCGGATATGTAAGTTGATGATTAATAGAAGTCAATTCAGTGTCTTTTTTACACTTAAATATTTATATTAATTAATTAATCATATTTTAACCAGCTCGCCGAAAGCCCGGGGCGAAGCCGCGTCGTGTGGCGCCTGACGCTCATGATTCACCGCGACCCAAGTCCAGTGGCAGTGAGGATAGTGAATGTGAGTATTGGGATAGGGATAGACAGGGATAGGGATAGACAAGGGTAGGGATAGAGACTGGTAGGGGCGGGAACAGTGGCATATATAATATGACACCGACTTAAGAAATATCCACTACACATTAAGATGTTTTCGATACAAAAGTTCCTGTCGATCCATCTATCAAAACACCACTAAACTTAGTCCTTACATGAAACTAATACATTTCGGATTACTAGGCGTTTTTATTATTTTTAAACTCTACATACTTTAGATCTCAAAGTAACTCAAACTTCGGGAATATGTAAATTAAAGTAATAATAAAATACGCGAAATAAATTTATACTCGCGATAGTCTTAGATCTTATTGAACTTTAGTCCTATTTATATTAATAATCTTTATAGTGATATTTGATATAAACCATATGGCATAGTTCGTGTAACGTATATATGTATGTATGTACTAGCTTTCCGCCCGCAGCTTCGCACGTGTGGAGTTCGGTTATATCGCGTTTCCAAGAGAATCGTCAAAAGTTTGGGATAAAACTATCCTATGTTCTTTCTCAAGGTCAACTCTATCTCTGTATCAAATTTCATTAAAATCAGTTCAGTGGTTTAGTCGTGAAAGCGTATTTTCCGTTGTTAACGCCCCCGCAACCCCTATTGTGGGTGGAATTTCGTAAAATACGTTCTTAGCTGGCCTCTACTCGGCGAAAGGAATAATCCCACCAAATTTCAAGTCGCTACGCTTTATGGTTCCAGAGATATCGTGATGAGTCAATATATAGGTGGAAATCTCTTTTATATATATATATGTATATGTCGGAGCGTCAGGAGGATCATGGGCGTTGTGCCGATTGGAACTCATAAATGAAAACACACTTGCATTTTACAATATTTCATAACTAGATTTCTTTACAATTGTATTTTAAAATTACATTTAAATAATAAGATGATAATGTATTATGAGCCAATAGGTTAGTCTTGTGCACTTTGTTTTACGGTTGCCCATAGCATTCTGGCCGTTCTCACATTCAGTGACAATCACTACCCTATTCAGAACTGGCCGCTCATAATTTTATGGCACAAATCAAATGTATTCCCTAAGAAGTTTATTATTAAACTAATCCATAATCGAAGCGCCGTCATATATACATTATACATATATATGTTTGTAACGTTCCCAGCTCTCCCAACCTGGCCATCAAGAGAGGGTCGTCCTCGCAACCTCGGGCGAGGAGTCAGCAAACCCAAGAAGAACACTGTCGCGTCGCTCCTGGCGCAGAGCAGGGCGCTGGGACTACGACCTGCGCTGGCGCAACAACTACTGGCTGAAACTGATATAGTAATATACTGGAGTTATATATTATATATAGATAGTTGTAGGGATGTAAGGAACCAAATTTGATAATTTGTATGTTTTTCTAGTACAAGATGTGTGTAAATTGTATAAATATTGTAAGGTACACGAAATGAGATAGATTACTGTTCCAAATGTATGTTTCATATAAGAACATATTTATTAATGCGGTAAAAAAAATACTGACTATTATATTATATTCTGAATATTATATCTTCATAAATTCTAACTTTAATAATAAATCATTATTTATATGTTTATAACAGTGTTGCTTTTTCAATCAATTATACATAGGAAGTTTTAATTCTTAATTAATAAGTGATAGTTAATAAATATATTACTATAATTATTATGTTTTTCTCATCCCAGGACAAGTTACGCGTCCTCCTAGGTGAGACAGCCAGTACGGACTCCGAGTGCCCTTCAGACTCCAACCCTTCAGACTCGGACACGTCTGACGGGGGCCGGAGACACAGCGACCCGCAGCTGAGACTGCCGCTGGCGCTCGGTACACATACATACATACATACATTATACAGGGTGACTGGTGAATTACTATCGATATTTAAGGAGAATACTCGGTACATGATTCTCATTCGAATTATGTAAAAAAATAGGTACTTAATTTTTGACAAAATTTCCGTATAAATAAATAAAGTGTGGACACGTTCCAAGTGTTCCAAGTGTATGTGTGTGTGAGTGTATACCTAATCTGTAGGGTGTTCACACGATGCGTATTTAATTACATAACTTTTGGTTAACTTTACTTAGAAGTTTATTAATATTTATGTTATATTAATTTTTATTTTGTCATATATGATCGTCAAATATCACGTCCTCAAGTATCGTTAGTAATTCACCAGTCACCCTGTATACTAGCTTCGCCCCGCTGATTTCCGGCATGTAAAGTAGCCTATATGTTATTCCTGGACGTCAGCTTCTTGTATACAAAATTTTATCAAGTGTGAAGAAGTAACAAACATACACACACACTTACAAACTTTCTCAATTATAATATTAGTGGGAAGTAGGATAACATATACATATATAACGCTTATACCGATAGATTATAAGCTACTTTTAGTAAAATAAGTAGGGTGGCAATCGGAGATTTCAATAAAACTACGAAACTGACTTATATGTATATTATAAAAAGAATTACATACATATTAAAACTTACTACTTATACCTAAGACTATATGATTGACTCGATGTTAGGATAACAATACCATTCCATAGCTTGTGTGGTATCAGGAATCTTCTGGTTCACACGGCTTGGTGTTCGTTCCGCGGAATCAGCGGCGTCACTATTTATAATATTTTATCTATACAACGGTGTTACCCCAGCTATGTTCACTTATTATTTAATATATAGCATATATTTAACAAGTACATATATAGAACAAAACATCCATTATGAATACATAACAATATGTGATTTAAAAACTATTTCTTCAAAATACATAGTGACTATAGATTTCAAGTACACAAGAATTGTATTTAATGTATTGTGAACAATATAATTAATGTAAATTTAACTTATTCCAGGTTGGAAACGAATAACTGTAATCAAGGGTCTGTCTCGCAACTGTAATATAAAGGGTGACGTGAGCTACACGCCGCCTGAACCAAACACGGGGATCACTATAAGGACGACGGACGAGTTGAACGCGGTTAGTACGATAAACTATCAGTTACTAGTATATTACGTGTAGTTACTAACACGTACTAGGGTCAACTAGATCAAATTGGTTGATTTATAAGTCAAGGTTTATATTTAATTCATACGATTGTATCTGATCATATAAAATATTAGAATGACTATATTATTATATATATTTGTATGTATATGAATATTATATTCCCCGAATATTTTGTACATAACACCAATGTTAGACAATTAATATGATTAAGAAAGACTTTTACATCTCGTCTTAATGACCATGATTGTAAAGTAATCAAAACGTCGTGAGAATATAGTTAAGAACAATAATATTCATTAGTCTTATATCTCACTATACAGGGTGACTGGTGAATTACTATCAATATTTAAGGAGCATACTCGGTACATGATTCTCATTCGAATTATGTAAAAAAAATAGGTACTTAATTTTTGACCAAATTTCCGTATAAATAAATAAAGTGTGGCCACGTTCCAAGTGTTCCAAGTGTGGACGCGTGCGGCGGCGTAGTGTTGTATCAGCACGCCGCCGCACGCGTATGTGTGAGTGTGTCTGTATACCTAATCTGTAGAGTTTTCACACGATGCGTAATTAATTACATAACTTTTGGTTAACTTTACTTAGAAGTTTATTAATATTTATGTTATAATAATTTTTATTTTATCATATATGATCGTCAAATATCACGTCCTCAAATATCGATAGTAATTCACCAGTCACCCTGTATATGTATATATACTAGAAGACCCGGCTAACTTCGTATCGCCCTATAATCAAGAAATATCTGTTTTTTAATAAATAAATTTAGGTTATACCTTAGCCTCAGAAACACGTGGTGGTTATGCTATTATTAAATAGTCGCCCATATAATATGACGTTTGTATTTTTAACATAGCGCCATCTATTGAATACCTAACTCAGTCAACAGATAATTGTAATAATGACAAATAATTTTCTTTAATAGACAAATAATTTGCAATAAAATAATAATGTGACTATAAATTGAGTTGTAAGCTATTCTATCTTTTAAGTTGGATCAAAATGCGCACGGAATGCAAATCAAATTTAAAATCGGTTTAGTAGTTTAGGAGTCCATCGCGGACAAACACGTGACACGAAATTTTTATATATATAAAGATATATGTGTGTATATTTATGTATGTATGTGTGTGTACAGTTTCTAGAGTCCAACCCCAGCCCGCCGCTGTCGCGCGACTCGTTCACATTCAGCGCACGCGTGGTGCTGGGCGAGTACGTGCAGCACACGCACGAGGAACCGGTCGTTATGACCGAGGGGGAGATCACTAAACGGTAATATATATCTTCTTCTACCTAGCAATGTCCCAGCTTTAGCCTGTCTGCCTTACATGTTGTGAATAGTTAAAGTATCTTAAAGGTTTGGAGATTTAACTTTGTGAGCACAATATTGTTAGAGTACCTTTTATGTTTATCAATTAGAAGTGCTAATGTTGATCTTAGCGAACCTTATATCGTTAGTACAGACTTCTCGTGTTCATAGATAGACTTGAAGCCAAAGATTTATCAAGACAGAAAAGGTTTATTTACCTACAAGTAGAGAAGATTTAGTAGTCTTTTTATAACATAATAAACATCCTATTTACTCATAAATTATTCAATTCAGAATTAAATTATCCCTAACTCTGATTCTTATATACAATACTACATTTTTTTTTCATTTTTTATTTATTTAAGATCCACCAGTGATAATTACATTAAAACAATATTGGGTAAAAAGAAATACAGTGTAGCTTATTTCTAAATGCATTATCTTTTAAGGCAGATACAGCATGCAAATATTAGGAAATTTATAAATCATTTATTACATTATATTAAAAACGTTTTAACTTATTGGTAAAAATTATTAAAATCTCTATATATAAAAATTAGGTTACAGGGGGTTCATTATATTAAAAATTAGATCATTACATTGTTAAGTCCAAACATTCTTATGTTGGTAGTTCAGAATTTATAACATATTTTTTTTCAAACTCAGGTTAGAAGAAGCTCGAGCATTAGCAGCCCTAAGTGGACGACCAACCCCGCCGCCTTTAGAACGACGTATGGAACTGGCGAGGAGGCAACAAGCAGCCAGGGACGCGAGGAGAGACGGGAGGGGGAGGGACCAGGTGAGAGAGAGACAGAGAGAGAGATATATATATAGACAGAGAGGGAGAGAGAAGGGGGCGTGGCTTAGAGCTGGGGAGACAAGGTGAGTGATAGAGTATACAGACCGTCGAGATAGTGATGGGAGTGACGTCATGAGAACGGGTCAATGACCTGATAAATAATAGACATAAGGTACCTAACTAGGTAGCTGCTTAGCGACACATCGGTACGTATTAACACGAACATATTGTTCAAATATATATTAAAATATATATAGTAGTTTGTTCATATACAATATTATCACACATTGTTTGTAGGCTCGTCTTGTAAGGGAAATAGAACGATCGGAGAAGGCGGAGGTTGTTAAACGAGAGAAGGAGGCTCGGAGCGCGCAGCTACTAGAGGTACGAATCGTTACATGGTACCCATATTATAGATATAGGAATATATACCTTATTGTATGGCCGGTAGGGTCTATATTATAGTTAATTAGATAATATACCTTCATAGTAATCCTTTTTGTTACTATATTAACAATTATTGTACACATATTCAATAGTTATAACTTATATATAAAACATGAATATGACTATTTATTTGGGAAACACATATAATATAGTACTTTTGTAATATACTTAATATATCCATTTTATTTACTTACTAATATATATATTTTTATTATCTGTGTGTCTATAATATGGGAACGTTTGTATATTTATGTTTTTTAATATATGTGCTTGTGTTTGTTTTATTTTATTATCAATTTGATGCTTGGCAACATTGTGCTCACACGTAGATCTCTGTTCAAAGCAAAAATGGACTCTACGGCCTACAAGATAGCGTTCGGAACGGTCGATTTTTGCTTTTCTGTAGTTAGATTATGAACTCTTAGCTTCTAGTAGTGTTGTGTTTCGAGGTAGCTATATATGTATGTAAACGTATTGGGGATCGCTAGAACCGGACAATGGCAATGTTGTCAACAATCACATTGATAATAAATAAAATAAATACAAAAAACTAACGGAGAAAATTCGAAACAGCAAATCAACAAGAGCAGATCGCAGCTGACGATTGAAGCTCTGCCGCAAAGACATACTGATGAGTGGAAAGTACCGGAGATCGGGCCTTTGAAAAGAGACAAAACGATGCCGCAGATAAGCTTGTCGCTCATACCCGTCAGCTTGAAAGATAGTCCGATAAAGACGATGAACTTAGAACAGAACTGGAAAGGAGAAGTTGAGGAATACAACGCACTAGATAAAATGAAAGACTTCGCTGAAAAAGCGTCCTTTGACCTACCGAAACGTCCCAACGACAAATATTTCGACTTCAGCCTCACCAAAACACCCGACAAAAGAAAGGCACCGGACAAAGAGAACAATCTAGAAAAACTCATAGAATCATATTCCAGAATAACCGAATTCATAAACGGCTGTGACTGGTCGAAACTGAGAGGCGACAAAAAATCCGACGACCCAAAGAGTTTGGAACAGAAATATTTAGACGCGAAAAACGAATTCATGTCACAGAACCTAATGCTGATGCCGAAAATTCAGAAATCAGTTCTAAAGGAGGTCATTGACCTCAGTGGAGACGACGATATACTTAAAGACATTATAACCAAAAAGATAAACAGAGGAACGTTCCATGTGGGGAAAGACGGAGCTTTATCGATATCGGTACAGCCGTGCAAGGACGCGAGTCCGGTACGTTATGAACTAACTTTCGGGTGTCACTAACACTGGTTGGGAGGAGCCGGTCCAATTAACATTTATATACACTTGCACTAAACATCTTCAAGCTTTATACGACGAAACCAAAATAAAAAGACCTCTTGATATAAGCGATACTGTTTGATAAGCTTTCCGTACTGTTATTGCACGCTTCGCAGTTTAATATTTAATTATTTCTTTTGTATTATTAATTTGTATGTTTTATTTTAACTAATTTTATAGTTTGTTTTTTTTAACATATGTAAATTTATAGATGGTTTTGGGTGATCTTAATTTAATTAATCTTGTTTTTAATATCCCGAGCATTATATGACGATTTGTTTATCTTTTTTTGTTGAATTTGATGTCATTATTAAATTATACCAAAAAATATTAAAATATATTTTTGATTATGACTATAAATTTTAAAAAATATTGTTTTTTTTTCCTAAAACATGATCAATGGTCGCCAAATAGGTTTTATTTAATTTATATATTTTTTATTTTGTTTCATGTTTGCTGTTAATATAATTTGCTGTGCTTTCGTTGTTGTTGTGTAAAGGCTAAGAAGAGAAAACAGGAGGAATTGGAGAAACAGAAAATTGAAGATCAGGCGAAAAGACAGCAGGTCGGTAGATACGACACACACACACACACACACACATATACATACACACGATGACGAGATCTGAAATATTCTCCAGTTTATTCATTTAAATGAAACTAATATTTGTCGAATATACTACGCGGTTCATTTTACGCCAGAAAATTAAGAAATCGAGGGCGGTAGGTGATAAATAACAAAACCAACTGACAGACATTCTCATCTCGTCTGAATGATCACGGTCGCTGAAAAGTTGCCTAAATGTCGGGAGTATGTAGCTATTTCACAAAAATAAATAGTGTAGTACATATATCTGAAAAATATTAGTTTCATTTAAACATACACATACGGTTAAAAGATTGATCGGGGCGATTATGATATACATATATATTATTGTTACAGGAGAGGGAACTCAAACGACAACAGGCGATGCTTCTAAAGGAACAGGTAAGCTTTGAACTGTACTGAAATATTAACCTTTGTTCTATATAAGGTACCTATGTTATAATAAAGTTTCATGAAAATCTGTTTATTAAAAGTCGTTATTACATAAGGGGGAGACGAGAGTGTATTGAAATATAAAAATGAAACTGAATTTAGAAAATAAACCTTTTAATAAAAAAGTTTTATTCCAAAATATGATTTTAGTTACATTTTCTCTCATGAAAATAATAGGAAGGACTATAGTTTTTATCTCTTACAAATTTTTTATATAAATAACTGTTAGAATACATCCCATGTATAGTAGTAAACCGAATTAAATCTTTCTAAGTATTCATGTAGATGAATCTTATATTAATTCTTTATTTTTTTCAACCCGGATCGTCTCTGCCACAGCAAAAGTACATAACGGAGGTAATATGGACATTACGTCTGCTTAGTTGAGCTTACAATAAGCTAACTTTTCTTTCCTTACTTTTCTTTTAAAGTATCTTTGGTTATACGGTTATCCTTACTTTTCTTTCGTCTTCTATTTCGTTATTTCGTCAATTTCAGCTATTTTTGTTCCTCATAGATGGCGTATATATTACTGTACATATCTCTGGTTTAGGTAGTGTTTCTATATCTAGCGAGGCTGTATAAAGCTATTCGCCAATACAATACTTCTCTGGCGTAGTCATATAGTATCTTAAAAAATGTACTAACATTTTATCGCTTCCTCGCTTTAATGTGAATGCACCATAATTATGACACATTCCATTTTCAAATTGAATTTTCTTTTAATAAAGGAAAGGGAAAGAAGGCGACAGCACACAGCATTCATCCGTCAGCTAGACGCGAGGAGACGGTGGGAGGATCGTGAAAGAAGAAAACATCAGAATCTTCTGGACAGACTTCTGGCTAAAGAAAAGAAATTACAGCAGAGAAGAAAGGAAATGGAATTACTCGCTGAGTTAAGGTAAACATGATTAACCGATTTTATAAGAAAGGCAGTTCATAATTCCACACTCAAGACTTGCGAAAAGGAAAAAAATTTTGGTATATTTAATTGTATCTATTGCATTGTGTTTAAAAGGACAAAACCATAAATTTAGTTATGTTATGATCAAGTGCAAGATCAATTGCATTAATAAGTAATCAACATTTTAGTCACAGACTACCATCACTTCATACAATAATTAACACAGAGCAACTACAATGACGTCATCAATATTTGTTGACGTCACAATAATAATAATAATAATAATAATATTTATTTGCTCTGAATGTAGGTAGAGAATATAGGTGTACAAATAGATTTTAATGTAAGTACCAGGTACATTCTACCATAAGGCATGCAAATATTAGGTTCAAATTATAAATTAAAATTAACTATTCAATTAAAATTACCAAATTAAATTAACCATGCAATTATAATCATATACTAAGTGTTTTATAGATTAAAATTAACTATTCAATAAAATAAAATACTTACATTGGTCACACTACAATGTTTTCCAATCCTAATATATATCTTCTATATATTCCAGACGTCCTCAAGAGGATTCATCTCTATCAGACCACAAACCTCTTCCCAAGTTGGACCGCATCCCAGGTCTTCGTATCCCGGGTCAAGCTATGGCTGATCTGCTGCAGGTCTACGAGTTCCTACATAACTTCGGACAGGCGTTGGGATTCGGTGAGTATAGAGAAATGTTTGACCGACTTAAAATAAAGAGTGTTATGTGGTACAAATAAATATGGGGTTGCTATGACTATAAAAATCTGGGTTGGAAATTGGGATTATAATTTAATAATGATCTATCAGCGATTTGATAGACTTCTAGATCAGGAATTAATATTACTGGCTTGTTAAGACATTTAACAGAGCATCATACGACTTAACAAGACATCATTCATTTAATATTGTTTGGTGAAACTGGGTCTTATTGTTTTTGATATTATTCATATTGATTATTAAAATATAAAATTAAAATCCTTAATTAAAATATATATGTAAGTATACAACTATCTCTTGAAACTCATATGAATATAATTTTTACATGTAGTCATTATGTATTTAGATTTTCTGAATCAATATACTTCTTATGAAAGCTCATTAGTCTAATTTATCACACATATATTTAAAAAATAATTCCATATCGAATAATAGTTTTCTTTCTTATCTTCTTCTTCTATCTATATATATAAAAATGGATTGCTGTTCCGTAGTCTCGCTAAAACTCGAGATTTATATTATCTTAGTCTTGAAATGTTCGTGGAGGTTCAGGGAAGGTATAAAAGCTGAAAAAAATTGATTCATTACTGGGAAAACCATAAAAACAGCCCTTTTCTATTTCCCATACAAACGTTTTTTTTTTGACATTAGATTTGACAACTAACTAATATGTTAATCATTCTGTCACACTTCAAAACACGGAGATTTATGGCTTACAGGTAAACTCCAAAAATATAAATAAAAAAACGTAGTAGATATTTCTTGATTATAGGGCGATACGAAGTGCGCCAGGTCTTCTAGTCCCTAATAATATTATAAATGCGAAAGTAACTCTGTCTGTCTGATACGTTTTTACGCCTAAACCACTGAACTGATTTTGATGAAATTTGGTACAGATATAGAGTTGACCTTGAGAAAGAACATAGGATAGTTTTTATCAGAGACTTTTGAAAGGTTCTCTTGAAAACGCGATATAGCCGTACTACACGCGGGCGAAGCTGCGGGTGGAAAGCTAGTATATAATATATTTTGTTATTATTTTCAGAAGTGGAGTCGCTACCTACACTGGACACATTACAGATGGGTTTGATACCGACCTGTAGCCAGGACGCCGAAGACGAACTGATGAATGTGTTGACTAAACTACTAGTGGTGGCTATCGGTGAGTGAAATATAAACAATAATATACACTATCATACATAATAATTCATACAGTATATTCGAGGTTTACATTTGTTCAGATGTTACTCTGGAAAATATTAGTTGAACCTTAATTAGATTGTATTAAAAAATAATTAATATTACAGAGTATGAAGTGTAGGGGTTGAGTACTTCGAATTAAAAAGCAAGAGTCCATGCGATACTGTATATATTTTACAATAATTAAAATTAACATATTTGACAATATACAGGGTGACTGGTGAATTACTATCAATATTTAAGGAGAATACTCGGTACATGATTCTCATTCGAATTATGTAAAAAAAATAGGCACTTAATTTTTGACAAAATTTCCGTATAAATAAGTAAAGTGTTGACACGTTCCAAGTGTTCAAGTGTGGACGCGTGCGGCGGCGTGCTGATACAACACCACGTCGCGACACGCGTATGTGTGAGTGTGAGTGTATACCTAATCTGTAGGGTGTTCATACGATGCGTAATTAATAACATAACTTTTGGTTAACTTTACTTAGAAGTTTATTAATATTTATGTTATATTAATTTTTATTTTGTCATATATGATCGTCAAATATCACGTCCTCAAATATCGATAGTAATTCACCAGTCACCCTGTATATGAAAACAATAAAGATTTATTACACACAAGTACAATGCTACAAGTACTACCTTATCAAGCTATCACGATTATGTAAACAGCTTTATAATTCTATTAATAATACAGCCAAAGAAATGAAAAACATACCATAATGATGTGTTAGACTTTAATGAACTCCTATTCCTCATCAACAATATGAACACAAACATTATATAATACATATATATTATATAACACTTCTATACAGGGTGTATGAAAAACTGTGTCAACCCTCTTAACTACGTTATCAGTATCGATAATGTAACACAATAAAACAACTTACATTTACAAACTCTTCAATAAAAATAATAAAATTAAATATTAAATGATTATTATATGTAGAGTAACAAAATGTTTGTATGCCCTGGTATAACACGATGACACGCAATGACGTCATCACAGCTGCTGCGCTACTAGTGACGACCTTGAAGTTACTTTCATATTATTGAGAATATCGATATTTAAAAAATCATAACAATAAATAAATATTTAATATTCATATTATTTCGATACTTATTTTGATATATCAAACATTAATATTATGTTTGATTGTAAAACATCATTTTTAACAGAAATATATTAACGATTTATCCTAATAATACAACATATGTAGTTAATTTACCTGAACAAGTTTCAAATTATAATATTTATTATTAATAAAAGTTATTTTAAATGAAATTATTTTAATGTGAAAAGCATAACTATTTATACCAATATTGAAAATGTCGATAGAATATTTATCGATATAACTAATTTTTACACTTTCAAATCTCTATTCGACAACTAACAGAATAGTAATAATAACGCCGGCGGCCCGTCGCCTGCGGTCAATGGTCACGCATGCGTCGTAGCGACTATACGGTGTCTTGACCTTGTATGAGTCAGATGTTTGGAACATATTTTCGAAAAATGTCGATTTAAAACTTACTTAGCCTATGCACTGTAACTGACTTCTGCTTGATTTTTTTTAAGTTATACTATTTTTTATAATAAGCTTATACTTATATGTATACGTGCCTTCAAGGGTTGACACAGTTTTTCATACACCCTGTATACTTACTAGCGCTTCCCGCGGTGTTATCCGCGGATTTCCGAGATGTAAAGTAGCCTATATGTTAGTCCTGGACGTCAGCTTCCTGTATACAAAATTTTATCAAAATCGCTTCAGCCGTTTGATCGTGAAGAAGTAACAAACATACACACACACTCACAAACTGTCGCAATTATAATATTAGTAGGATATCTTAATATTTATGATATATTTCCATATATCAGAAGAGCCGGGTATACCCCACCCGGGTCGTCACACCACTCTACTGGGTCACGCGCTCCGTCTGGCTGAACTAACTCCGGACACACTCAGTGAAGTGCTCCGGATATACTTATATGCTTGTGCCACCGCTGAGGTTAAAGCTCTTACTGGTAAGAACATTTATAATTAATTAATTTCCTAGTTTGTGATATGAGAGTAATGTTTTAATGTATAGTGTGTGACTTGATAAATTCTTCTTCTACCTGGCAATTTCCCAGCTTTAGCCTGTCTGCCTCACATGTTGTGAATAGTTTTGGCTAATTGTTTTTACGACCGGCCGCCTGCCTGAAATCAATTCTGTTTGGGAATGCATTAATCATTAATTTGACTTGGTAAATTATCCACCCTTAACTTAAACGGAGGGACATATTTCGATGAACAATAAAATTATATTTTAATGTCATAATTATTAATAATATAAACATATAACATTGATTCACATCAGTTTTATAATAAATGTTCTCAAAAAATATATATTATTAAGAAACATGATTTTGTACACAATATATAAATTACAAGTGTAGTTTAAAACTAGAATTTGTTACCGCTAGTGATGTGTTCTTTTGATAGTTCCTAATTCATTAACACCTAATGCCGGTCACACATTATACTATATTAGCACGAGTACTGTAACATGTGTGGCGGCATTATATTTGACTTCTTATATCATCAACTAGCTTTCCGCCCGTAGCTTCGCCCGCGTGGAGTTCGGTTATATTGCTTTTCCAAGAGAACTTTTCAAAATTCTGAGATAGAAACTATCCTATGTTCTTTCTCAAGATCAACTCTATGTCTGTACCAAATTTCGTTAAAATCAGTTCAGTGGTTTAGGCATGAAAGCGTAACAGACAGAGTTACTTTCGCATTTATAATTTTAGTAGGGATGACGAGATATACTCATCTATATCATATCTTATATCAACAATAATGAGATGTACTTCGTAATAATATATTAAGTACTAGCTGCGCCCGTTACCCGCGGATTTCCGAGATTTTCGGGATGTAAAGTAGCCTATGTGTCATTCCTGAACGTCAGCTTCCTGTATACAAAATTTGATCAAAATCGGTTCAGCCGTTTGAGTGTGAAGAAGTAACAAACATACACACACTCTCAAACTTTCGCAATTATAATATTAGTAGGATTAACCCGGTGGTATCACTTTAGGTTTGACCGTGGAGCGTGAACGAGACCGGCGCGTAGCTGATCATCATCAAAGCGACGCGGAGATGCAGATGACCTTCGCCAGTAGTAAGAACACTACCTACTACGAACATCTACACAGCAACGCTACTTATAAACTATCAGGTTAGTTAAATACGTAAAATATATCGCACCTCCGCTCAAATAGTGTCACAACTCAAAAAAAGTTGAATTCAATTTTATTGCACTATTGGAATCAGAAAACTTCGAAATCTTATCTCAAATAATGTCATGCCAATAGTTCAACTATTAAATAAATAAACAATATTTCGTAAATTATTCGTTTTTTTCATCCTTAAAGTGTCACAACTCAAAAATTGTTTTTTTTTTTTAAATATATTCCAAAAGTCTATTACACCATTTTGTTGAGTGTCAAAAATCATTATAACTTACTTAAAATCATATTGCAGTAACTTTCACAGTTTTTGAGTGATGAGCCGAAAAGTGAAAAATAAAGTTAGCATTAACTTCAAACGCGTTTTATTCGAAAGTTGGGATTTTTGACTTATGACACTATTTGAGCGGAGGTGCGATATACATATAGAATAATATGTATCTTGTAAAAAACAGTGAGTAGTCAACTTGTTTATGCATATTTATATATATCACAAGCATATTACATTTTTCTAATCAAAGAGTACATATAATATTATTGTGTATATTATAGATCCGTCAATATTATCGCATTATTCCAATTTTATTCTTTAAACTTATTTTTTACACGATATACATTTCTTGAAAACATTAAGTTAGTACGTAATAAAGAATCAATCAAGACGCGTTTTTAATACCTAATATCTACAAGCAAAAGTGAACCTTAATTATCAGAAAAAATATTGTATAATAATCTTTCGCACCGTAATAAATATTTATAAATATTCTTAGAAACAAATGGTTTATTCTAACAAAAAAAAAAAAATAGCTACACAATATTAATTATCACAATATATTCACAAATTAATCTTATTAACCAAAATGATTGCACAATTAAACAAAATTGTAATAATTTATCAAAGCAAAGGCAAATAAGCTGCAAACGGGCAGAGCTCTCGCTAGTAACTTTTCTTCCCCACTATTGATCCTTATTTTTTGTGTATGGCTAACAATATATACATATGTTATATTCCAGAACTGCTCCGCGACAAGCCGTTCGCAGCCCTCCCTCCGTCCAGTAAGTGTCGTATGATGGCCCGCGTGTGTGACGAGCTGCTGCAGAGCCGCTCCGTGCTGAGGCAGCTGGACGCGTCGCTGGAACACCTCGCGCAGCTACGGAGGGACAGATACCTGCTCGACACAAGGATACGCAAGTACGGAACATAGAACTAACGTATACTATATAGTATGATACACAAGTATGGAACTATGGAACTAACGTAACCTGAACTATGAACTATACTACCTAGTATGATCTGTACTATTACTACCACTGCCGGCGTTAGGGGGGGGGGCGATGGGGCGACAGCCCAGGGCGCCAAATTTGGGGGGCGATTAGTGGAGGTAGGATACTTATAAATGAAAAAATAAAAAAGATAGGAGCTACATAACTTTCTACGTCCACGTCGTTAGCTCTGGGTCACGCTAAAGGAAAGATGGTAGATGGAATATAGAATTGTTAATACACGTTCAGTGTTCACATTGGTTCAGAAAAAAATAACACTCGATTTTGATTTCTTCAAGTGGGCGCCAAAATATTCTTTCCCAGGGTGTCAGTCCCTCTAACGCCGGCACTGATTACTACCTAGACAAGTTATTTGCACTAGTATGCGCCAATTAGCATATTAACACTAGTACGCGCTAATTTTGAAATATACCTTATTTTTAGCATAACTTTACATATAAAGGCGGTAAACGCTAACTTTATACTCATTAGATATAACAGTATTGATTGTAAGACAATGTTGTTATAACATAGATTCGTTATTATAATCATCTGTAAAATTTTACAAAAAAAATCTTCATCAGTTTTCAATATCAAACTTCCTTTAATAATTACAATCTTAAATTCATACGTTAATAATTCGTTTTTTCTTATATTTCCAGAGTTCGTGTATTACAACAACGCAAAGCCCGAGCGGAGGCCGCTGAGAGACAGCAGGCGGCCGCACTCGATCGTATGCACAGAATGGTTGATGAATCACACACACATTCACACGACACAGGTACTTACACACATTACGAACATGTGTATTACACATACTGATGACGTATAAACACACAGAGTCAGCGGTGGCCTAGTGGTGAAAAGGCCTGTCTCTCATGCACGAGGGCGCGGGTTCGATCCTGGCCCGGGCAAGTACCAATGTGATTTTTCCGAGTCATATGTACTTTCTAAGAGTATTTAGACACCACTGATTAATGTTCCCAAAGAGGGTTGATGTCAGGCAGGCGGCCGGTCATAAAAACAATTAGCCAAAACTATTCACAACATGTAAGGCAGACCCTGGCTAATGCTGGGAAATTGCCAGGTAGAAGAAGATTACGTATACGACTTTTAATATAGGTTCCAAGTCAATTTACTATCACAAGAACGTAAATATTTATGATCTTTTCATATCACGAGCTTATGATAAACGCCGGGGGTCAGTAGTGAAAATTATTGGCAACTTTTGATATGTGGTTTCTTAGTATATTTATAGAAGCAACTTCTTGAAGAAGCTATATGTATATTTTCACTTTCTTTTGACATTATACAGGGTGACTGGTGAATTACTATCAATACTTGAGGACGTGATATTTGACGATCATATATGACAGAATAAAAATTAATATAACATAAATATTAATAAACTTCTAAGTAAAGTTAACCAAAAGTTATGTAATTAATTACGCATCGTGTGAACACCCTACAGATTAGGTATACACTGACACTCACACATACGCGTGTCGTGACGTAGTGTTGTATCAGCACGCCGCCGCACGCGTCCACACTTGAACACTTGGAACGTGTCAACACTTTATTTATTTATACGGAAATTTTGTCAAAAATTAAGTGCCTATTTTTTTTACATATTTCGAATGAGAATCATGTACCGAGTATTCTCCTTAAATATTGATAGTAATTCACCAGTCACCCTGTATATTTTCCATCAACCATGTCTCATTCTCTTTAATAGTGAAGTATGTTCAACAAAGATAAGCGGGTTTAAGTGGACCCCTTTTACAAGAGGCCCCTAGCAAATTCTTATCCGATTCTATAACAAGTCTAACACTAATGACCACATTAAAAACATTAACGTTATATATTAACCTGATACATTAATATTTTCTTACAGAAGACAAACCAGAAACTCCTAAGAAGGAATCCTCGCCAGACAAGCAGCATACTCCATCCCCATTCAAGGATGAGAGTGACAAAGAACTGTCTCCACTGAAGGATCTCAGCAAGAAAATGTTGAATAACAACAAGGATGATGACGTCAAAGATAAGGATGACGTCATGGCTGACTGTGACGGACTGCTGAGTGACCTGGAGAGCGAGGGAACGCAGCCCGAGGAGGTATACACACACACATACATACATATATAATAATAATAAAATATTTATTGGTGAAAGTCGCACTACCACACAATAACGATCTTATTCACAAATAAAAACGTAAAAAAATACAATAAACAAAATTACAAAAAAAAAATATAATAAGAAAAAGGAAAAAAAAGAAAATGTGCTACAGTGCAACAATACCAAATGGAGATTCGCTCAGTTGAAGAAAAAACATCAATGATGCTTCTAAACTGATTTTCAGCGGTCTCCATAATATACACACAAATACTTACCAGGGTTTAACATTCTTATTTTAGTCTACTTCACTTTGAGAATCAATAAATTTTTCACATACTGAAAAATCTCTAACTTATCCTAATCAAATGAAATATACAAACATTAATATAATCACCTTAGTTTAATTAATACTAAAAAAAATTAATATAAAAAACTAACATGTATCTTCCAAATTGGTGAATAATAAAGAATTCTCTTATATAATATGATATTTTGTCTCTCATCATCAAAATAATAACTTTCTAAATAAATTAAATCCTTTTTAAGCGTTTAACATGTTTATGACCCTTTTATATTACTTTTGAACACCTAAAAGATATATAATTTGATGTGTGTATGAAAATAAGGTAACTGCTATAAATCTACAGTACTACCAAAAATACAGTTTAATTCTAGTTATAAGAAAAATCAGTATTTTAATTCTGTTTTAAACTATCACAGGATGAAGACAAGAATTTATCTTCCGAGGAATTATCTAGAAAATTGGAGAAGTTGTTGAGACAGTCAGAACAACAGTTACTGGCGTTAGCTGCCGGCTCACACGAGCTGAGGGCCACTTGCTACGGACAAGACAGGTATATATATACTAAAATATATGTATATACATTGACAGACACATATACAGGGTGACTGGTGAATTACTATCAATATTTAAGGAGAATACTCGGTACATGATTCTCATTCGAATTATGTAAAAAAATAGGTACTTAATTTTTGACAAAATTTCCGTATAAATAAATAAAGTGTTGACACGTTCCAAGTGTTCCAAGTGTGGACGTGTGCGACGGCGTGCTGATACAACACCACGCCGCCGACGCGTGTGTGTGTGTGTGTGTGTGTGTGTGTGTGTGTGTGTGTGTGTGTATACCTAATCTGTAGGGTGTTCACACGATGCGTAATTAATTACATAACTTTTGGTTAACTTTACTGAGAAGTTTATTAATATTTATTTTATATTAATTTTTATTTTGTCATATATGATCGTCAAATATGACGTCCTCAAGTATCGATAAAATTCACCAGTCACCCTGTATAATAAAGAATATGGAATAATATATTTTATATGATCTTAGACCTGTTATGAGATTTTCACTGTTTATTCAAAGACCACCAGTAATTAACACTTACATTTATTTATATGTAAATATTATATGAGTGTGAGTGTGCAAATAAAAAAACTAAAATAAATCAAAACAACTTTCTGACTCTTCATGTATGCAACACTCTTACAATATTATTTTTCTTATCCTCATAGTAAGATATTATTAAAACAAACTTTAAAAAGATATTTCTTCACCCCCAAGTTCCGTATAGCGATTCTGGTTTATTTTATATTAAATCTAGTAATAAATATATTTTAATTGTTAATATTATTGGTAATAGATATTGGCGTCGTTACTGGTCGCTGGGTAAGGCGGGCGGCGTGTTAGTAGAGGCGTTAGAATCAGCACAGCCTGAAACTATTGATTATCATGATAGAAGGGAACGGGCTGCGCTTGGTAAGCATTCATTCATTCCATCGTTCAATCATTCATTCATTCCACAAACACATTGCAATGGATTACGTAACTTACTCAGGATTTGATTATCAGGTGTGCTAAGATACTTCCAGTCATTTAAATAAGCAACGTTAGATAGTAAAAATTAAGAGATTTCCGATTTTCATTTAATAATTTATAAAAAACTATTGTTAAATAACATAACTTTAATGTTATAAAAGTTTTGCACTAGATTCATATGGAATAGAGTAATAATAGCAACTCAATTACTGATATAACTATAGAAACATAACAATTCAAGTTGATAAAATTAACTTCACTTGATAAGAACCAATATTTTTAGTTAATATATTATCAAATTTCTTACTCTAATATGTCCATAGAATTATGATTTCAACGGTTGGTGGATGCAATAAAACCAAAATTATTTGACTTAATTTAATTATAAAGTAAATTACAACTAGGGTTCGACTATGTTGCACAGAGGTTGAACAAATAATGACAATAATCTAATTAAATTCTTAAAAGAAATATTATAAACTAAAAACATAAAAGAAAAATTAAAACCAAAAACTGTCTTCACACGGAACTGCTGAGTTAGACCCGTGTAGAATAGACGAGTTTACCAGAAGCTAAGGCGTCCTCTGATTACACCGTATAAAGATAATTATATTTTAATTAAACGACCACTTATGACACTGTCACATAACAATAGTTATAATATTATTAACTTTATTTACAGCAAAGGAAGACACTCTCAATTCTGATAACGTCGATTCTGAGTCAGTAAAAGTTGATGCTGAAGCAGAGGCCCAGGAATTGAGGAGCATTAAGAATGAATTAAATCTAAGTGATCGGACACAGATTATAAAATATGAACCGAACGTCACTCATGGAGTTTGTAAAGTTGAAGGTTATATATGTTTATATTTGTTACTAAACAAATGTAACGTGTTTTATAATATTAATGGGATTGCAGTTGATATAGGAATACTGTATAATTTATTGGCTTTAGATTTTTGATATTTAAATATTTTTTTTGGTATAGCTAGTTGTTGAAGAGTTATGTATGTATTATCAGATGTAAGGGCATAAAAATTTTAATAATATTTAATCTATTCTATTTTTTTGTATGTTTAACTTCCACTGGATAAATTTAACTCCTAAAGTTTATATTCAATAAAATAAAGAAAAAAATTTTTTCTTTGTTCCCAATAAATTGTGTAGCAAACATAAATATTCTAATAATATCGTCATAATTCTAAACTATTAAGTAAATAATAAATAAACAAATCGTTAAGCATGCAAAATATACAAGGTTAAACTGTGTTTAAAGTAATTAATAAATTATATAAATCAATACAATCGTAAATTACAGGTTCAATAAAGATGGAAGAGAAATACATTCAACATAAACAAAGCAACGAAGAGGAAGATATGTTGGATATAGAAGACTCTATACCCACCGCCTTCTTGGTACAGAAACCTACACACAAACCTATGTTCGCACAGCAAGCGGAACAGATGGACAAACCACAAGAGATAGTCAAAGTAGAGAATATAGTTAAGAACGAAACAGAACAAGAAGAAGAAAAGGAAAACACGGTTAATAACTTAGAAGAATTAAGAAAAATGGCGGAAGCTGTATCCTCAGAATTAGACGCGGCAAAGAAAGCGGAAGCAGACAAAATAGAAATGGACGCTAAAATAGAAGAAACAAAACAAGCTGAGGTTGATTCAGCTCATAATATATTATACACAAAGATGTTAGAAGGAAAATGGTTCTCAATATTACGACATGAGAGCTCATTTTTGAATAACATCAATGATAAAAACGAAATAGCTGTATTCTGCGACAACGAACACACATGTTCTGAAGTTATTAACTGTCAGGGTCATAAATGGGATGTTTCAAACAATCTACACTTGTTGAATGACCCGAGTTTGTTCACATTAAACTCTATGGTGACAAGCGTGCAAGTGCCAGCTAATAATGTATATACTGATTCTAGTTTGACAATGTCGGGTATAGATCAAGATGAGTTAGACTCGAGTCTTAGTAAGGACGCGCAAGATGTTGAAATGGAGGAAAGCAAGGAATTGGTTTGTATATAATATTATATATGAAAGTTCTCATCATTCCATGTATTCATATGCGTGTGTCGGGTCCATCGTTGTAGTGAGAGGAGCTTCAACAGTGACTGTGACTTGTGACCTAGGTGAAGGTTTAAGGGACCCCTATCTAACGCGTTAAACGCTCACCTCCACTGTCTAAGCTCCTCGATGTAATAAGAATATCAAATCAATATATATTAAGTTATGTGGCAGGTAATTTGTATGATAACTGATTTTATAAATTATAACGTTATTGTTAGTAGCGCATTATACAGGGTGACTGGTGAATTACTATCAATATTTAAGGAGCATACTCGGTACATGATTCTCATTTGAATTATGTAAAAAAAATAGGTACTTAATTTTTGACCAAATTTCCCTATAAATAAATAAAGTGTTGACACGTTCCAAGTGTGGACGCGTGCGGCGGCGTGCTGATACAAAACCACGCCCCCGCCGCGTGTGTGTGAGTGTGTGTGTATACCTAATCTGTAGGGTGTTCACACGATGCGTAATTAATTACACAACTTTTGGTTAACTTTACTTAGAAGTTTATTAATATTAATGTTATATTAATTTTTATTTTGTCATATATGATCGTCAAATATCACGTCCTCAAATATCGATAGTAATTCACCAGTCACCCTGTATATGTAATCAGCCGCGTCATTTTTCTCGTGTGAGTTTAGTTTAGTTTTTAAAATGCACATACTAGAAGTAATTCAAATTATTTATAACCATCACTTGCAATAGTTTCTTTAATTCTGATATAAAAAATAATAGTTCCATACTCGGTTCACCGCTTCTACTAATTTGCTATACTTCATATATATAAGTAAGTATTGTTATTATGTTATATAATTATTGACAATATAATACTTTTACAGGAAACAGATGTAGATAAAGAAGTTCAATCAGTAACTAAGGATATATCCCAAAAGACGAAAGCATCAAATCTATCAAGTCTAGGTCTACTAAATTTCAACGCTCTCTCAACCTACGTGACTTGCGACAGCCCGCCTCCCATACAAATGACCCCCGATGAACTAGAACAATTAGAGAATGCTAAAATACACGGACTACCCAAAAAAGTTGAGGGCAGTTATGTACCTAAGGAACTGAGGTAAATAATATGCATATATACTGTATTTTCATATAATCATTTTATCATATCTATCTGAAAACTAAAAATCATTGCTCATGATTATAAACAGTAATGTTCTTTAATCACATTACATTCGCATAACAATATTACTTTAATTACGAAACGGTACTGACTTTTTAAAGAGATCAATTAAAACAGTACGACTTCTCAGTAAATCACTTGTTTATTCCCAATTTTCACAAAGTAATGGATAATTATATCCAAAAATGTTCTTTTGATAATATCTCCTCCCCTCACCCCTTAGTCAATACAGCTCCTCTTTATTGTTGTTACAACAACATATGTTAATGATCTTAATGTATGTATATATGTGTGGTAGACACGGCTGGTGGCGTATCTCCCGACCGGAGCAGCTCCAAGAGTTGTTAGACGCGCTTCACCCTCGAGGAGCGAGGGAGAGGGAACTACACGCGGCGCTGACACAACACCCGCCAACTATTAATAATAAGGTTAATATACTGAAACTATCATAATAACTACATATATGAAACAATATATACATATATGTATACAAAATGTATAATTAATACGAGTACTATGTACTGTATGTTATAGGACGTGTATGTAGTCAAAGTTTTCCTCTCACTTGATGATGGGTATATGTTATATATTAGGTTTTCACATTTAATTTTTTTTTATTTATGGTTGTAGTGTATGTATCTATACAATAGATATAATACACTGTCTCACGTACCCCACTGGAGGGGGTGGCATGCGCTCGGCAGTCTAATGACTAGCGCGGAGTGGATCGGGGACGTGCGTCGATCTAGGTGGGGTAGTAGTGAGACAGTGACTAGTTATACTTACATATAGGACCAGGGGGGACCTACAACGGTATTTGGCAATAGTGTTTTATAATGTCAAATAATCATTGCAATACAGTATACTATCTTCTAGTTAAGATATACTATCTTCACATTATGTCACTACATATACTTCAGTTTTATTACTTACTAGAAGACCTGGCGAACTTCGTATCGCCCTATAATCAAGAAATATCTATTACGTTTTTTTATTTATATTTTTGCAGTTAACCTATAAGCCATAAATCTCCGTGTTTTGAAGTGCGACAGAATGATTGACATATTAGTTAGTTGTCAAATCTAATGTCAAAAAAAACGTTTGTATGGGAAATAGAAAAGGGCTGTTTTTATGGTTTTCCCAGTAATGAATGATAAGATAAATCCGTTCAGCTGTTCTCGAGTTTTAGCGAGACTAAGGAACAGCAATCCATTTTTATATATATAGAAGATTACCACATATAGTATATATATATATTAAGTCACAATAATCCTTACATATATTCCACAGCTGTACATAGACCCCGGTAGTCCCCGCGCCCGCCTCACTACCCCTAGTGATCTATCTGAAGAAGGTTACCCGCCACCAGATACACCGGGCTCATTCTGTGCCCTCACCGCGAGGAGGGTGGATATGCAATTATTAGCTATGGTAAGTATATATATACTAGAAGACCCGGCGAACTTCGTATCGCCCTATAATCAAGAAATATCTGTTACTTTTTTATTTATATTTTTGGAGTTTACCTATTAAATAAATCCCCGTGTTTGGAAGTGTGTCAGAATGATTGACATATTAGTTAGTTGTCAAATCTAATGTCAAAAAAACGTTTGTATCAACAACTACTAATAAATTAAAAATTAATTAAAAAAACATTGTATAGCGGACAAAATTGTGAATCTAAACCATTCCCAGATCCCCTTGAACACACACAAAAAATTTCATCAAAATCGTCCAGTCGTTTGAGATAAGTTCAGTGACATACACACTCACAGAAGATTTATATATATAAAGATTTACTTGTTTATAATATTTACGAAAAAACCTTAGAATTTTTAGAATTGTAAGTATGTAGTTTGTGTTTTATTCCATTATTTTTAACAATAAAAAAATACCTAGTTCCCCATTTATTTTATTAGGATGGAAATTAATTAAGGTGGCAATCTGTGTTTCAGTAAAACTACAAAACTTACTTATATGTATATTATGATAATAATTAAATATTGGTTATTGGTTATATGATATTTTATTCATACAGTGGTGTTGTCCCGGCGATGTCCATTTATTTTTAACATGGAATATAAATATTTTTTTCCCATTAGAGACCTTTTTGGGTCATTATGTTTTTCTGAGCTGATGCTATAATTAAATTTATCTCATTTAATATTCCAGGTGGAAGCTTTAGAAGAAAGAGTCGCAGCCGCATCCATGCAGGTGAAGGGCTGGCGAGCAGCTCGTTTAGCGTTACCAGCGGCGGCCACCGGCGCCGAGATCGTAGCACGAGCGAGACACAAGCTGGCGTCACTAGAGGCTCACATCGAGCGACGGTACCTCAAGCCGCCGCTCGTGCAGAGGTACGTGCCCGACGGCGGCCGGACCGCGACTGAAAGGTGAGCGAATGATGCGAGTTGACCGTGTGGGGGAGCGGGACGGATATATATAGAACGCATGCGTGTGACGGAGATGGATTAGATACGGATAGAAACGGTGTCACGTGTGGGGGAGCGAGACAGATATATATAGTCGCATGCGTGTCACAGAGATGGATTAGATACGGATAGTAACGGTGTCACCTGTGTTGTAAAGGGACGGATATACAGTCGCATGTGTGTGAGGGAGACGGACTACGGAAATTGCCGTGTTTTGGATAGAATAGTGTTATTATAGAGTTGCTTGGATAGTATAAGGTATGTAGCAAAAGTAATGTAGTTTTGCATGAATCGATTTTTAAATAATATGAAATAAGATAAATCTGTCGAAGTTGATATTATGATTTGATTATATTGTTAATACCTATGTCTGAGTTTTATATAGTTATCAGTGTAAATTCTATCATTGTACATATGAAAATTTTTAAACGGCTAAAGTCCAAAGACATAAGTACTTTTTAAGAAGAAATAAAGATATAAGATATTAGTAATAGCCCTTAAATAATAAAATTAACAAGCAATTACTATAGTAAAAAGTACCTGAATATAATATATAACGTATATATGTTATATATATAACAGTGTGTACATTGTCTGTCTGTGTGTAGTTCATCGGAGGTGTTGGGAGCAGCTCTTCAGGCAGATGGAACCGCGCATCCCGACGCACAGGAACATAAGTGTAAGTATATATATAATTATATACATAATACATATATATATAATACCTATCCATATCTTAACATCTGTATTCATAATTAATTATTGGAAGGATTTAATTAATTTCACACCTACATAGTACTAGATATTTATAATAGATGGCGCTACTAGTTTATTAACAAAGCGATAGCTATACAGTAAATAAGTTAGAAAACATCTCACATACAAGTTATACCATACAGATAATACTAGTCGAAGAATTATGTACATTATATAAAGTATATGCAGAATGTAATACTTTTACAGAACATAGTTTAGCTAGCACATTATTTTACTGTTAACTATACTGATATCTGCTATAAAACGTCTCCAGGGTTTACTTAGTAATCTTGTGCATCTATTCCAACTACTGATTGTTAAAGTCATATTATGTGTCTTACTGTCTGCCTTCTCCTATGAAATATAATATTCATATATCACCGACGTTGTTTAATTGCCTTACAGATATGACTATTTTTTTCTATGTTGCCATCTTTGTTTCCTGTAATTCTTTAATATAATTTAACTTAATCGCTTCTAAAGACTTAACTACACAACATGATTCACTATTCACTCATAACCGTTCTACATTTTTCTTTAAATCTATATTAAATAAATATTACTCTTCTTACACGTGACTATATACATATGTATCTCTGTCTTATATGATACTTAGTATTATATTCATCATGTTATATATGCTACTTTATATTATACTATATATAAATGTATTGAAATGTCAATGTAATTGTGAGTTAGCGACGATGAATTCCAGTGTACGGAAGAACCAATATCGGTTTATGAGACAGTGAAAAATTTGACATAAATGTAAAAAATACCAACATAATTGTAATAAATAAATAAATAATTATATAAATTTTTGTTAATAAGGTTCATTGTATATGTGAGTATCTTGTATGAGTCATATTGTTATATGTATGTATGTATGTATGTTCTAGCGGATAATCATGGTATATGTGACTATCTTGTATGAGTCATATCATTTTTTTTTTCTAGCTGATAAGGGCATCTCCCGCGGTCTGTGCGTGTGGCGCGAGGCGGTGTCTCGCTGTAACACGTCGGCGCAGCTCGCGATGTTATTACACGCGCTGGAACACGCTGTGGCCTGGGATAAGAGCATCATGAAGGCGGTCAGTTATATATATATAGGACTGTAACAATATATAAAAATATTTAACTATCTTAGAAACTTGCGACTGAAATAAAAATCAAAACTTAATTAGAACAAACTAACTAGCTTAAAACAAAACACTTTAAATAAGTTATATTCAATTTCAAACACACCAAATATATATGTATTACTAGCTTTCCGACCGCAACTTCGCCTGCGTGGAGTTCGGTTATATCGCTTTTCCAAGAGAACCTTTCAAAAGTCTGGGATGAAAACTATCCTATATTCTTTCTCAAGGTCAACTCTATGTCTGTAACCAAATTTCATTAAAATCAGTTCAGTGGTTTAGGCGTGAAAGCGTAACAGACAGACAGAGTTACATTCGCATTAATAATATTAGTAGGGATGTGACAAGAGATGAAGAGAAGTTTGTACATATCAGAGTTTCTATATAATAATATTTATTATATATATATTCCAGAATTGTCAGTTCTGTCTGTCTGGTGACAACGAGGACCAGTTGTTGTTGTGTGACGGCTGCGACAAAGGGTACCACACGTACTGCTTCAAGCCAAGGATGGATAAAATACCCGACGGAGACTGGTTAGTAACATACTGTTGATGTTATGGAGGAATTAATAAAACATACATACATAATATATGTATAGAACTGAGTCAGTGGTGGCCTAGTGGTTAAAAGGCCCGCCTCTCATGCACGAGATCGATCCTGGTAAGTACCAATGTGATTTTCCCGAGTCATATGTACTTTCTAAGAGTATTTAGACATCACTGATTAATGCATTCCCAAAGAGGGTTGATGTCAGGCAGGCGGCCGGTCGTAAAAAAAATTAGCCAAAACAATTAAAACATGTAAGGCAGACCCTGCCTAAAGCTGGGAAATTGCCAGGAAGAAGTACATAATATTTGTATAGAACCTATATGTAATGTTTAAATCGATAACTATAACCCTATATTGATAACTGTCAATGAAATTGCTTGTAAAATAAATCCAGGATAAAATGATATTTTTTTAAGCTGGAATGGAATATTCAGAGACTATTTCATATTCACTAACTAAGTAAAACTATCTGACTAAATTATTTAGTTTAGTCAGATAGTTTTACTTAGTTTTACTTATGTCATTGTTTTTATTTTAATTGTTGTTTGTTAATTAATTAGTTTTTTTTTTTTATTTCTTTTCTGCTTGTTGTCGCCTAATTATGAATTTATATTTTCTTACGCATGCTGTTATCACCTTTAATTAAGATGCCACCTGTTTTATTTTTTATATACATGTGTCTGAAATGTTCCTGGTGTATATTCTTGTTGGTGATCTAACAAAATAAATAAATAAATAAAATAAATAAATAAATATTCACGATATTTTGTCGTGTTGATCTTTTAATTTTGCTATTAAAAAAATCACTTTCCATTTATAATTACTATTATTTACCTGTGTTATTCTGTTCCATCCATAATATGACATAATATTTGAAATATCTAATATATTTACGGCTTCCTTACAGTATAGGAATAGAAATAACAATAAACTATTATATAACGTTTATATAAATGAAATATTGAGATTTATAATCAAATATCCACATTTAGTACTTATTTTAATGTGTGTATGTATGTGTGTGTTAGGTACTGCTGGGAATGCGTGAACAAGGCGCGCGGCGGGTCCCGTGAGCGCGTGTGTATCGTGTGCGGGGGCGCAGCCCGGGGCAGAGCCCTGCCCTGCGCGCTGTGTGTGAGGGCCTACCACCTCGACTGTCACTACCCGCCGCTCACTAAGGTAACACACACACTACTACTACTTGTAGTACCGGCAGATAATAGTAGTACTATAGTACACTACTACTAAGTAGAATAATATCCAGTAATAAAATATATATCAAAATACATTGAATCTGTCTTTACAAAAATTGTCATTTATAATATTAGCATAATGTACAAAATTCAATCTTAACTGTAATTCTAATATAGTCTTTATTTACTTGAGTACTTATTTACTTAAAACAATCATTGTCGTATGCAAATGATTTTTAAATGAAACTAATATTTTCGGATTTACTACGCGTTTTTTTTTATTTTAAATTATAAACTAAATATTCCCGACGTTTTGGCTACTTTACATCAACCGTGATCACGGGCAGACGAAAATAAAAACGCGTAGTAAATCCGAAAATATTAGTTTCACTTAAATGAGTACCCGCGAAAATCTTAGATCTCGTTATGAATCTTTAAAATAAATACATTAACTCTTATTTTGTTTTAATTTCATATAAATCCATAAGGTTAAATATATAGATATACTGGGAGTGTATCAAGATGCAGTATGTCCAAGCAAATTAACTATTAATCCTTACATGTACCCTTAGTACGAACTTCATATAAGTTTATAACTATAATACTTAACGTTTGATAGTAACACATTCTTATCTCCAGATGCCTCGCGGCAAGTGGTATTGTAGTCAATGCGCTTCCCGGGCGCCCGCTAAGAGACCCAGGAAGGGGAAGAAAGATAAGAACAAGGACTCGGATATAGATGGCGCTATGGTGCCCAGGTTAGATATGACTATCTTTATATATATAATTCTTCTGTGAGTGTGTATGTCACTGAACTTCTCTCAAACGACTGGAAAATTTCGATAATTTTTTTTGTGTGTGTTCAAGGGGATCCGGGAATGGTTTAGATTCACAATTTTGTCCGCTGGATAATGTTTTTTTAATTAATTTTTAATTTATTAGTAGTTGTTGATACAAACGTTTTTTTTACATTAGATTTGACAGCTAACTAATATGTCAATCATTCTGTCGCACTTCTAAATACGGAGATTTATGGCTTTAATAGGTAAACTCCAAAAATATAAATAAAAAAAGGTAACAGATATTTCTTGATTATAGGGCGATACGAATTTCGCCGGGTCTTCTAGTGTATAAATAATATAAGACGCTTCACCTATATACTTTGTTAGATATTAAAAAAAAGACCTTGCCTATATATACATATATAGCCAGTCAATTCATTCAGTTAATATGGACAGTGCATAGAATTTTATCGGCGTAACATAATAAGAAGCTTCACTTATACAGGGTGACTGGTGAATTACTATCCACATTTAAGGAGAATATTCGGTACATGATTCTCATTCGAATTATGTAAAAAAAATAGGTAGTTAATATTTGACCAAATTTCCGTATAAATAAATAAAGTGTGGATACGTTCCAAGTGTTCCAAGTGTGGACGCGTGCGGCGGCGTGCTGATACAACACCACGCCGCCGCACGCGTGTGTGTGTGTGTATACCTAATCTGTAGGGTGTTCACACGATGCGTAATTAATTACATAACTTTTGGTTAACTTTACTTAGAAGTTTATTAATATTTATGTTATATTAATTTTTATTTTGTCATATATGATCGTCAAATATCACGTCCTCAAGTATCGATAGTAATTCACCAGTCACCCTGTATATGTATATTTTCTTAGAAACAACATCAGATGTGACTTTTTAAAATAATATCACTTATAAAATATTAAATACAAATATATTCATATTAAATTAAAATATAATTTTTTTCACGAAACTAAAAATAGTATTAAATTCATAACTTTCAACTATGTCGATTTAAAATTATAGTAAATCTACCACCGATTAATCTATCACATCAACTTGTGTTACGAACGGAAAACAGTCCTATGCTCTTCTGTTAACTGCTTACATGTGGTTTACTCATACTCCTAAAATATATCAACAATCAATAAAAAAATATTTTATTGCCATAACATTGCCTGTGTTAAGTAGTACATAAAACAAAATACTGTTTGTTAAACTTACTACCACGAGCAATTCCAGAAATATTTTTTTCAAGTTTTAACTCTATTTCTCTTACTTTTATATATAAATGTTATAATATAATATTATATACTATGACAGTCCCGCGGCGTCTCACGCCTCTACGTCGACCACAGCCGAGGAGGGCGGGCTGCCAGCACCCGAGCCGGAAAGAGATGACACGGACAACGACGGACTAACACATAACGGTTAGTCGTTATAGTTACACTATTTATAACTCAAAAACAGCTATATGGATTTGATAGTAATTAGTGGAGAGATAGATTAGAACAATGGAAAGGACATAGGATAACTTTTAATATGATCGAAAAAATATTAAAATCTTCTTATTTAATGCCTTTTAAGAGGAATTGAGCTCGCCAGGCACCTATACATGTAATTGTGAACTTAACGCGACCGAAGTAGCCGGCAAAAGCTAGTATATATATCATATATAATAAGAAACGTAATTATTCATAAATCATAATTTCTGTAACCAGTATCAGTTGACACCTGCGATGAAAGCCACGCTTCGGGTAACGGAGCTTTACTTAATGACACCAATTGTGAGTAAAAACTATTTAGTTAACATTAATACTACTATGCATATAATGTTATAAATATAACCTAGCTTAAATAAAAATCTCATATTAATGCATATGTAAAAATTAATTGAATAAGTATTAATATGCTAAAATTTTTGATGAAAAAAAAACAAAAAAAATTATTGTAAAGTATCATAAACGTAAACTATTAATAAGAGTAGTGTTTGAAACATTTTATATATGTATATCCTCTTCTAAAGGCATATTTTCCACAGACAAGAGTACTAAAAACAAAAATAATTATTGTTTTATATTTATAATAAAATTTTGTTGATTCAGCCGAAGACCATGAGTCAGAAAACCTACCGCTTCTATCCCGTGCCAAGAAAGAGAAAAACAGTGCCAAAAAACAACTCAAAGATATGCAGTTTTGCAAGTGAGTAATTAAAAGAAATCTATATTATATTAAAAATTAAGAAATATAAGCTATTTTGATTCTATTAGAAGATTTTCACTAGTCTTAGTATTTAGTTTTTCTCAAGTTTAAACAGTCTAACATACAAAATGTTCAAAAATATGTTTGTTGTATGAATTAATGATTTTATATCAAATTCCAGGAATCTTCTGTGTGAGATGGAATGTCACGAGCATGCCTGGCCGTTCCTGGTCCCCGTGAACACTAAACAGTTCCCTCAGTACAGAAAAGTTATTAAATGTCCCATGGACTTGTCCACAATCAAGAGGAAATTACATGAGTCCGGGTAACTATTACACAATATATACACTTATTGTGTTTATATTTACCAAGAAAATATTTTTACTGACTTGTTTATAATGAAAATGACTATCAATAAAATAATGATAATAATCATCCCTACTAATATTATAAATGAGAAAGTAACTCTGTCTGTTACGCTTTCACGCCTAAACCAATGAACTGATTTTAATGAAATTTGGTGCAGAAATAGAGTTGGTCTTAAGAGAGAAATTAGGATAGTTTTTATCCCAGACTTTTGAAAGGTTCTCTTTTAAACGCGATATAACCGAACTCCACGCGGGCGAAGCTGCGGGCGGAAAGCTAGTATAGATAAGGATTACTCTTTCGTTAAAGTCCCCTTAGCCAATCATTTTAATGAATTAAACTCTAGTTATATTTATATTTATTTCATATATTTATGTCTTCAGTTACAAATGCAAGGAGGAGTTTGCTTCCGACGTCCGTCTGATCTTCAGTAACTGCGAGGTGTTCAATGAAGACGAGAGTCCCGTGGGGCGAGCGGGACACTGTATGAGGGAGTTCTTTGAGAGGAGATGGGAACACGCTTAGACGCAATGACCGTGAACAGGAGGGTCAATGACCGTGAAAGTTAGTCGATGACCGTGAAACACGAATCAACAAGCGTGAAACTCCGTCAATGACCGTGAACAACTCGAATGTCGTGTAAATATTAATTATATATTATATAGTCGGAATGGAAGTCGTTGTGATCATATCTATACCGATAGTTTGAGATATATTTATCAATTTTTTTATGTATTTCTTCTCTGATAGTAACTGATGTGACAAATTATTTTTCATATAATTTTCTATCTATAATAACGTAGTGTTAGTTGACCGTTTGAAGTCACTGCCAAACACGAGTGTGTTGCAACTCATATAATATTATTTATTACTCTATAAAGGCTCTCGCTGTATAAACGATGTATTTGAATGTAATTTATCATCTAAATGCTATTGTATCAGATCGATTGACTTTATTTTAGGTGCTGGTCGCCATTATTGATTTTTGAATTATAACTTTATTATCTTCCGTACACGATTTAATAGTATATTGAATATAACTTTAACATTCCCAACAAGAAACCTTACGGCCTTTGCATTAGGTCACAAAATCGAACGGGACGGATTTCAGAATCTCAAATGTATGTTACAAAATGACGCACAGATTGGACTGTTTGTAAATATTAGTTACGATCCGATGTATTAATTAAGTGTAGGGAAGTTAGTGTCGATGTCGTTTGTTTATAAGTTTTATAATTTGCGTAGCAACGAAGCAGTATTCATAATGTCTGCATTTTAATATTGATTCCACTCGTGTATGTATACAGGCGAGTAGTGTACTAGAAAAAGTACGGGCCTGGGCCGATCATAGTATAGAATAGTTTAGGCCTAAATTCGTGAAAAAAATATATATATGAAAAATCTCGAATTTATTCCTCTCGTAATAATATCGTTATATTTATGCTCTTATATAACATTTTATTATTTTTTTTGTGTATTTCAAAAAGTTTTCTTTTTATATTTTTAATATTTTGATTCTGGTCATATATTGGTATTTCCATAATATTTATTTCGTTAAGTCTTCACGAATATCCTAAGTCTTAGTAAGCAGGAGGTCGAGTGTTAATAATTATTATTATAATACGTGTAGTTAGTCTCGCTAATGTAAATTATATATATGTATTGTTACAGTATTACAGTTAACTCTCGTTCGACTCACTACTCGTGACGGGCACATTGTATAGTATAATTTGTTCCATTCCTAGCACAAATGTGTTTTCTAATGAGTATTTTAAAGTATTAATTGTTCGACTGCAGCTTTTAATTTTATTATACTGTGGTGAAATAGATTACTGAATAGTCGGGACTTAAATTATTATATCTAGTTGTGTGTTTCTGCCGAGGTATGTTTTTGAAACTGAACTCTACTGCCAGTGAATGAGGTCTATGTTTGATTGTAAAACATATTTTGGTGGCACTCGCGAGGCGTGTATGAGAAGTTATAGTTTTATGTGTGAATTGGTTGATTTTAAACTATAAAATGGATATATGAATTATATATACGAATAAATAAATAATTTTTGAAGCACTTTGATGTCGTTTTCTTTTTATATTATATTATAGACTGTGATGAACAGCTAGCTATAATCAAATGTTATTAATAAAGAGTTTCGATTACTTTGCAGCAACCGTGATCACGGCAGACATCTCGTCTGCCCGTTAAAAATAGAAGTCTCCAGTTTGTAAAGAAAAGCTGGAAACGTTTTATATGAACCCTTTCTTTTATTTACTTCTACAGCTATGTATTTCTTCAGATAATCATCAAAACGGAACTCATTCCAATCGTTACATTAAATATTTGTATTTAAGATAATTAAAATCAATGTAAATCCGTTGGTTTAGTAAAAGTTGGTTCCTCAATATCAATGGTTAAATTCAGATATCGTTAACAGTCAAGTGCGATATTTGAATTTCGTTACTTTATATTCCCAAAGAACATCGTTAAATGACTTCTTAAATCGTGTTTTTTGGTATTTTTAAGTGAAGTAATTGTATTTAAATAGTTATTACATTATTTTCGTAAACTTTTAAAATTTACATTACAACTTTTTGAATCGTTATATCTCAAAAACTTTAATTCTTTGTAGATAATTTTATGATCTAAATTTTTGTTGGAGGTATGATAAAACTTACCGTTTTGCTGAAAATCGCGAAAAACTCATTTTTTTACCTTTGACCTTGAATAAATTCTTTTCCTTACAGGGGAAAGATGAGAATTTTCAAATTTTGTTTTTAATGATATTTTAAACAATTTTACCGATTTTCAACTTGGTGGGAATTTAGGTAATATTACTCTTATTTTATGGACTATTTTGACCGGACTATGTAATAATGATCACTACTAAGAATTCTTAAAAACTGGTCTTAGGTCTACTGGAAGACGACGCTAGAATGAAGTAAGAATGATTAATTTGTTAAATGTGCAAGTTTCCTCCCGTCAAATTCACATTAGATGGCGGTACTTGCATCGGAAGAAAGCGGAAACTGGACAAAAAGGTGCTTGACTCAAAATGGATCCCGGATGTCAACATGGAACAATAATGAATGTATTGAAGAATATCCAAAAATAATCTTGATTAAATGCTATAGTGAGTTCATTATCGAATATAAATGTTATGTAACTTTTATTTGACTAACTTGACTGCAATTTTTCATACATCAGCAGAAAAATATGAAATGTTGAATAAATTAAGGAAGTAAATAACACAAGTGGCTGGACTTAAGATATATTTAAGACATTTAAAATACATATTTAGAATACTCAATAAAATTGTAACATTCTCAAACAAATGTCTGTATGTAAAGTAAATGTATGTCTGTTACATGAGAAAATACATTAAAATATATAGTAATACATAAAGTATTTAAGCCTGTTCAGGTTTCTTCTGTGCTAACTTTGCTTTCATTCTTCGTTGACTTCTCTTCTTATTCAGCGGGACACTCCCGGACAGTTGACCTGACTTCTGTAGTGCTATTAGTTTTGCTGATTTACCCTAAAACAAAATATTTATGTGAAAAATTAAAGTAAAACCATAATTATCATATAAAACACTTAACAATATATTGGAACATGAATATTTCTGACATATAGCATTAACAAATCTATACTAAAAATGTTTCTATGTATTATCCTGCTTAATAAAACAACTATAGATCCTTAAGAATTCAATTAAATTATTTCGAGTGAGAACATAACATACATTCTAATTTTATATTATAATTATTAGACTAACATAGATTTATAAGTTAAAAAATACTAACAAGTGGGCCTATGTTGCACAAATAAAGAAATTACGTATAATTATATTTCAACAATATATATGAAGTATTAACAGTTTTCATAAATTTTAACACATAGTATTAACAAACTATTGGTGATTGTAGTATTCTATAAAACTATATTAAAATTGTCATGGATGTATTGTGCTTAGTAGCAAATTGAATGACAGCAACTAGTATAATAATCTTCCTACATTGCACTTGACATCATACATATTATGATTTTAACAATACCAAGCAAGTATTAGTAATACATAACAGTGTTCAACTGTAAATGCATGTAGTGTGATCATGCACTCGTAAAAGCCTATGCTTTTTACTTCTATAAGTAATCTTTTATTATATATATATCTTACCTTTGCCTCAGTCTTAGTGATCTTGCTGTTCTGTTGCGTTGAATATAACACATTGATTCGTCTGTTGTCCAACATTGTGTGATGTTTGGAAAGGGCAATCTGAAAAAATATATAATATATTAATATATTTCATTAAAACCTTGACTTATTGGATGGTAGATATTTTAAAATATTATATTAATTTTAAAAGTATTGTTATATATATGATTTATGTATGAACTTAGACATTTCTCAATTGCAAAGATTATATTGTACTGTTACAATAGTTTAAAACTATCATAACAAAATTATAACTATACTATTAATATATATATCTTATATATTTAAATGAGCAATTCTTGTATATATATTACATATATATAATCGAAATTGGCTCTAATCATTCCAAGAAAATGTTATTTTATTTAAAAAAAAAATAACAAAAAGGAGTCGTTAAAAATATGACTCTTCCTGACATCTATAGGCAAATAATAATACTACTTTTTGCTAATTGCTTAAACGACACAACAGCAGATGGCGTTGTTAAGGACCAGGAAGTCAATGAGTGGTTGTTTTGAGACTAAGAAATTAATTTTTGATTTATATTCTTTTGTCTTATTAACGTGTTCGCTTAAAAATACCTAAACAAAATTTTAAAAAACACAAAATAAATACTAATAATTCCTAAATATAATAAACCAGATATTTTATATATAAATATATTATATGAGAAACCATTAAATATAATACCTCATAACTAGACTCGTTCTTCAGTTCCAAGTAAGCGATGGCACTCTTCTTTCCTTCGGCCAGTTTTGGGATGCGGACGTCCACAACAAAGTCACTGATGTCCGAAAAATGTTTCATCAACTGAAATACAAACAAGAAATATATTAGAATGACAATATTAAGAACGTAATAATTATTTTATTCTTTTACTATGACATATCTTCTTCTTCTACCCAGCAATTTCCCGGCTTTAGCCAGGGTTTGCCTTACATGTTGTGAATAGTTTTTGCGACCGGCCGCCTGCCTGACATCAACCCTCTTTGGGAATGCATTAAACAGTGATGTCTAAATACTCTCAGAAAGTACATATGACTCGGAAAAATCACATTGGTACTTGCCAGGATCGAACCCGCGCCCTCATGCATGACCGGCGGGCCTTTTAACCATAGGCCACCACTGACTTTAATATATACATATATATTATATACATACCCTTTCTTTATCAATATCTTGAGCCAAATTACCGATGAATACTACATATCTTTTAGGTCCCTTAACTTTTTGATTGTCATTAGATTTTTCTTGGTCATTTTTCTTATTTTTAACTTTCTCCTTATCATCTACATTATTTGTTTTCTTTTCTTTAGGAGACTCATTGTTTCCTTCCTTTTCTTGAGCTTCCTTTGCTTTCCTTTTCCTTTCCTTTCTTATTTTATTTTTACTCGCATTCTTAGCTTTGGGTACAGGTTTTTCTTTATGTACGGAGAGTTTCAGCATGTTATACAATATTCTTATTCTTCTTAATTCAGATTCGTTCAGATTTTCTGATTTCTTCATTATTGATTGTATTTTGTTGTTGATCACATCTGGCAATTGGTCCTCGGCTGTGCCTTTAAAGCTTTCTTTCAATACTTGCCGAATTCTTCCTGTAATGTTAAAATTGTTATTTAAAACATATAGAAAAAAAAATAATATTAAACAAAACAAGACAGGTTTTGAATTTATACTACAGATTTTAATTCAGTTAAAAATTTTTAGGGAATTTTATTTCATCATCATCTCAGATGGAGAAAGTAAGAGTATTAATCACCACGCTTTATCAAGGCTGATTGGCGATTACAAACTTATAATTTAAAACAATCAAATTTTATCTAAATACTGTTAGAAAGTAGACGTGACTCAGAATAAATCACTTTAACTCGGTATGCTTACAAAATTTCATTAAATCGGTCCAGCTATTTCAGAGTTTTCTGTAATAACGCGACACGAGAATTTTATATATAAGATATATTTCCTCTTTGACATATTTTATATATACTGCAATGGTATTAAATGCTAAAGATGGGACTGTGCTAAACATTACCGAGTACTTGAGGTACAATAATTTTTCTTACCCTTTTGGTTGTTAGTGAGTTCTACACTCAGGAATTTCTTGACGAGTTCATCATTTTTCAGTACCGGATATTTTTTGAGGATTGCTTCTGGAATAGGATTTTCTTTGACCTGAAATAAAATTGTATATTCATTATTGTGGTTAACAGTTATAATGGATTGGGTAAAATCCTACTAATATCATAATTGCAAAACTTTGCGAGTGTGTGTATGTTTGTTACTTCTTCACGCTCAAACGGCTGAACCTATTTTGATAAAATTTTGTATACAGGAAGCTGACGTCCAGGACATAGGCTACATCCCGGAAATCCGCGGGTAACGCCGCGGGGCGCAGCTAGTATGTTTATATAAGTCACCTGTACTTCAGCTTTTGGTTTCACTTCAGTAACTTTCTTCACTTGCTTCAAAGCTGATTCCGAAGCTGCACCGGCTTTCAGATTTTTGGGTTTTGGCTTCTTATTTTTGAGTTTGTTTTTCTTAGCAATTGTCTTAACAACGGGAGCTTCAGCACTATAAGATAAATTATTTGATTAATATCTTTACCAGAGTTTGCCAAATCAAGGTCTGAATAGTAACAGGGTTCTAATTCTTTTTAGTTTCTTTGTAACCATAATAACCTAACAGTTTTATATAGATATTATAATTTAATTCTTTTGTAATGCCTAATAAGTTGATGAGCTGATTTATTTTCTTCAAGCATTAGGTTTTTTGAGGTCTATGCAATCTTCACAACAAATTGAAATGTTCCAGGGTATGTAACAAAATGCATTTTGAAAGATTTCACAATTTAGGAGGAAATTCTGGATTAAGTGAGTTTCATGGAACTAAAGGCAGTGGCAATTTTGATGCAAAACTAGAATTATTTAGTAAATGTTCTTGTATTGTGACTGACGGAGCAAAAAGTATGACAAAGCAAGAGTATTGATTCGACTTTTAAAATGAAATGACGTTGATGACCTATTATTCTACTACATTATTCACCAAGAAGCATTATGTAGAAAATCTTTGCATCAAATGAATGTTATGAAAGTTATTGTTAGGATAACCAAATTGATTAGATATTTATAACCAAATTGATTGTAAAAACAGATAACTTAGAGACATTATAACTGAAATTGATAGAATTAATGAAGATTTATTATTACACTCAGAAATAAGACAGCTAAGGGCAAAACATTGCTTTAAGAAAAGAAGTACCTTTATTACTTAAAAATATAATAGCAATTCAAAATGAAAATTTTGAAAATATGTAATTGTCGGACCAATTGAAATATGTGGAATTTGAATAACTATTGATAGATTTTTATAAAATTGAGATTGATATAATATCCACTTATCCATTTAAGATGACATTAGAAAGTGTGAATATTAATTATCAATTATAATTGTTTTATCTGCCCAATCAAACCTATTCTATAAGGTTAGAATAAAATCAAGGATTTAATTTATTAAGCTCCTAGTTCAATGTTTCAAAAAAACAGAAGTTTTTTGTCTAACAACGGGTTCTATACTACTCAGTATATATCTCAATAGAAGTATTTACCTAATAATAAACTTTATAAAATCTAAATAAAGATCTTCAAAAGACATCACGCAACTAGCTTTGAAGTAGCAACAATGTGTTGATGTTAACATAATTGTAATAGACATGTTAATGAGAAAGCAATAAAATTATAACACCTTATTTTTGTTGTTTTTAAAAATACCATGCGGCCTTAGAAAATATCAAGTTAGGACAGACCTCATCTATGAACACACTGGTATCCTTTCCAACATAAAATGTGGACGAAATGAGAGATTAACCAACATTATGACCTCATTACTAGTAAACTTAGACAAGATAAGTGAATAAAAGGCAAGAGTTTTCATTCAATTACAGTAGAAAATATAATTAATTAAAAAATCTTAGCTACTTACACTGTTTTCGCCATGATGCAGTTTGAGGTTATGTCATGTGTTCCTAAAAATAAATATTATATTATTAAATTTATTTCAAAGTAATGTCGTACGTGAAATTAAGCGAAAATTACTGATATTTCATTTATTATTAATATAATAAGCTATAAAATATCGTAAAAGTTGAGATCACGTTACTGCGTAAAACACTATTTCGGCAATTACACGAATACAAAATAAAATAAGCAATAATTAAATATAAAATATCGATAACAATTTAATTTACCTTGTGAAAACAAAATATACAATTTGTAAAGGAAAAAGTAATGTAATTTTTAGTAAAATATTTTAACACGGCCTCACACCGATATTAAACACATGCGAATCTCGATTAGACATTCAAGACTCAACAGACGCTACCACCATGTGTCAAAAAAAGATGCCTTCAAAATAATTAATTAAACTTAAATATTTTATTACTTTCTATAAAAATATATTTAAATTAATAAAAAACTTTGCTTTCATCTCATTTTTAATTACATAAAATAATGAAATTTGTTGTTTCTTAACATACACCGTCATAAAATAAAATTTAATTATAACAAATATATATGTACACGGATTGACGTAAATTTAAATCATGGATATAAAAGAAAGATCTTTTCTTTTTATTTTTCAGCAAGATAACAGTTTAATAATGTTAACAAATTAAATAAGCCTGACCTAATAATATTTTTTTATATGCCATAACGAAAGTTATTATAATAAATATTGTTATTGTTATTTATCATAAAGTTTATGCCGAACATTAACTTTCATAGAATATAATCATGAACGAGTTAATAAACGAGAGGTAAAAATAAATATGGTGTGTGAATGAGTAACAAAATATACAATACAAGCGAATAAAAAAAATTCCAAAAAAGCTTTATTAGGTATTAGAATGGAAGGTTAATAAACATTTTAAATTCTACTAAATGTCAATTCAAAGTATGAGAATTAATATTAAAACTGCATAACACGATATTAAAACCTTGATGTTTATATAGAGTACAACTGTTCTTAACACAGATATAATTTAAAGGGAAGTTTATTATACATAGATTAAAGGTTATTATTATAATTTTTATATTTAAAGTGTAGCTGTATTTAATAGATAGCAACACTAATCAAGGTAGCCTTTTTAGTACCTTTATCTCATAAAAGATGGCATTGAAGAAATATTATTATGCTAATAAAATAAATGTTAAATACTAATTTTCGTAATGATTTAATAAAAATAATTATTTATGATAATATTGAATCAAACTTTCTTCTAGTTAATTTAATAATATTTTCTATGAATATGATAATCATTTGCTTTCAATGAGGGAAAACCCGTTGAAATTTTGTATAAGGAAATAATATGCTTGTATATTTTAAAACGTTTTTGTATCTGTATGAATAATTTCTTAGTACATATATTTATTCTATAACAACAATGTTTAAATTGATGACACACTCGTCAAGCCTTCACTTGTATTAAAATTATTAACGGTTGTTCTTAAATAAATTATTTTCCTCATACTTTCTCAATTATGGAATCATACATTTTTAATTTTTTTCAATGATCGATGTACGATTTTCAAATTTAATTCTATTTAAGCTGACAAAACCCCCTTTGAAGTTCATTATAAGTACACAAAATAAATGTAAGCTTGTAAGAATAATACGCTTGTTTTACATTATTTTTAAATGTATTTTTCATTACCTCATTAAGTATTGTACTTAAAATAAGTATTATTTATAAAGGTTAAAATATTTGAAGGATTTAACTATAACTTGATAATTAGTTGGTAACTACCAATAACTGTTATTTATTAAACAATTGAACATTATTATAAATATAAAATTTACCTAGGTTTTTTATTACGATTCAATTCTATAAATACTGATTACTTATTTGAACTTTCCCAGTAACGGGTAATCGTTTGCGGTGTATTAAAACTTAGTCTGGTTTACTTTGAAGACAGAACATTAACTTATATTAGTTCACCGATATTTAGTTGGGTTTAAAAAAAGTTATCGTACGAAATACTTGAACAAAGAGTTGTCACTTAATTTACGTTGATGGCTGTTTCTCGTAAACATTTGTAAGTTATTTGTTTCTAAAAAAACCCAAACAAAGCACACTAAAAGCCTGTCTTATCCGATAAGCCTTTCTTTCGCTAAAAAGCTGACCGTAATCAGTGCATCGAAGCGAAAAATAACTGTTGGAAAGTAAAGAGGACGCGCTCGAGTCACCGCGCTCAGTGAGACGGCAGTCGCCTAGCGGTCAAGGCTCTGCCAGGCCGGGATTGAAAAAAAAAAGTAAATTATAAAAAGCGCGCGTAACTGTCAATGTCAATTTATAGATTAAAAAGTATTTAGTTTTTTTCTTAAATATATTTTTTTTTATTTAATTCAGTTGATGATAATTTTCTTTATATATATCTATGTGCGGGTAATGCGTTGGTGATTGTGAACGGATACGTTAAACAGGTGATTATAAAAATAAAATAATTATGTAAAAAAATATTTAACTAATGATTTATTTGTTTATATTTAATATTATATTATTATTAGCGAAATTATAACATTATTGAATGTAACAATGTTATGTTGTATAAATGTATTAATTATTCCGTTGCTAGTAGCTAATGGTTGATGGAATCCGCTTTTTATTCATAGATATCAGTGCTCAGTCGAGACGATCGGGTATAACGGCCCTGCAATCATAGGTTGTTGCTCTTCCTACTGCCATACGACATATAAAACCTTCTTTATAGAGGAAAAGCTCTAACCAGCTTTCAATCTAGTTATTTCGCCCCGTTTTTTACGTTTAAAAACTTTAGAATAGAAAGTTCTGTATGGTTTTCTATGTAAAATATAATAATATATATCTAATTCCTTAGATACATTATAGCAAGTTTATTTATATCATTTTAATAAGAAAATAAATACATTTATAATTTTTCATGCTTTCTTTTATAATACATTTCAGCGTGAGCTAAAAACAAGTTTTCTAAAATGTGCTGTCGTGTTTCTGTTCCGTTGTGTGAATGTGGGTCAGTGAAATGATCGAAACACGGTCCCGTATGGAATCTGACCCGGGCGACCGACGCCGGCACAGACACGCCGACACTGACCGACATTTGACGTTTAATAAAAAAAAAAAAAACGAAGAGTCCATTGACAAAGGAGTCCGTATTTGACGTTTTAATTTCTTATTGACTTGCTATTTTTGAATTTCGAACACTATAAAAGTTTGATAGATTTGGTGTTTAATAAGAAAAATCCAAAGAGTCCATTGACAAAGGAGTTCGTATTTGACGATTTACTTTCTTATTGACTTGCTATTTTTAAATTTCGAATACTGAAGCTAAAAGTTTGATAGATTTGACGTTTAATAAAAAAAACCAAAGAGTCTTTTGACAAAGGAGTACGTACTTGACGTTTTACTTTCTTATAGACTCGTGCTATTTTTAAATTTCGAACACCAAAGCTATAAGTTTGATAGATTTGACATTTCTAAAAAAAACAGAGTCCATTGACAAAGGAGTACGTACTTGACGTTTTACTTTCTTATTGACTTGCTATTTTTGAATTTCGAACACTAAAGCTAAAAGTTTGATAGATTTGAAGTTTAATAGAAAAACCCAAAGAGTCTTTTGACAAAGGAGTTCGAATAGCATGACGTTTTACTTTCTTATTGACTCGTGCTATTTTTGAATTTCGAACACTGAAGCTAAAAGTTTGATAGATTTGGTGTTTCTTAAAAAAACTAGAGTCCATTGACAAAGGAGTTCGTATTTGACGTTTTATTTTCTTATTGACTTGCTATTTTTGAATTTCGAACACTAAAGCTAAAAGTTTGATAGATTTGAAGTTTAATAGAAAAACCCAAAGAGTCTTTTGACAAAGGAGTTCGAATAGCATGACGTTTTACTTTCTTATTGACTCGTGCTATTTTTGAATTTCGAACACTGAAGCTAAAAGTTTGATAGATTTGGTGTTTCTTAAAAAAACTAGAGTCCATTGACAAAGGAGTTCGTATTTGACGTTTTATTTTCTTATTGACTTGCTATTTTTGAATTTCGAACACTAAAGCTAAAAGTTTGATAGATTTGACGTTTCATAAAAATCCAAAGAGTCCATTGACAAAGGAGTACGTATTTGACGTTTTATTTTCTTATTGACTTGCTATTTTTGAATTTCGAACACTAAAGCTAAAAGTTTGATAGATTTGAAGTTTAATAGAAAAACCCAAAGAGTCTTTTGACAAAGGAGTTCGAATAGCATGACGTTTTACTTTCTTATTGACTCGTGCTATTTTTGAATTTCGAACACTGAAGCTAAAAGTTTGATAGATTTGGTGTTTCTTAAAAAAACTAGAGTCCATTGACAAAGGAGTTCGTATTTGACGTTTTATTTTCTTATTGACTTGCTATTTTTGAATTTCGAACACTAAAGCTAAAAGTTTGATAGATTTGAAGTTTAATAGAAAAACCCAAAGAGTCTTTTGACAAAGGAGTTCGAATAGCATGACGTTTTACTTTCTTATTGACTCGTGCTATTTTTGAATTTCGAACACTGAAGCTAAAAGTTTGATAGATTTGGTGTTTCTTAAAAAAACTAGAGTCCATTGACAAAGGAGTTCGTATTTGACGTTTTATTTTCTTATTGACTTGCTATTTTTGAATTTCGAACACTAAAGCTAAAAGTTTGATAGATTTGAAGTTTAATAGAAAAACCCAAAGAGTCTTTTGACAAAGGAGTTCGAATAGCATGACGTTTTACTTTCTTATTGACTCGTGCTATTTTTGAATTTCGAACACTGAAGCTAAAAGTTTGATAGATTTGGTGTTTCTTAAAAAAACTAGAGTCCATTGACAAAGGAGTTCGTATTTGACGTTTTATTTTCTTATTGACTTGCTATTTTTGAATTTCGAACACTAAAGCTAAAAGTTTGATAGATTTGAAGTTTAATAGAAAAACCCAAAGAGTCTTTTGACAAAGGAGTTCGAATAGCATGACGTTTTACTTTCTTATTGACTCGTGCTATTTTTGAATTTCGAACACTGAAGCTAAAAGTTTGATAGATTTGGTGTTTCTTAAAAAAACTAGAGTCCATTGACAAAGGAGTTCGTATTTGACGTTTTATTTTCTTATTGACTTGCTATTTTTGAATTTCGTACACTGAAGCTAAAAGTTTGATAGATTTGACGTTTCATAAAAATCCAAAGAGTCCATTGACAAAGGAGTACGTATTTGACGTTTTATTTTCTTATTGACTTGCTATTTTGGAATTTCGAACACTGAAGCTAAAAGTTTGATAGATTTGACGTTTCATAAAAAACCAAAGAGTCCACTGACAAAGGAGTTCGTATTTGACGTTTTACTTTCTTATTGACTTGCTATTTTTGAATTTCGAACACTGTAGCAAACTTTGACAGATTTGAAATCATTATCATTTTTTACGTATTATTAATAGTAAATATCTTGCGTGGAATGTTTAATATATCAATTGACTTACTTTCAAGATAAGCTTAAGATAAGCAGGTTCAGTGCGAGGTCGTTAACATCCGCACAGCCTTGCTTCGGCCGAGGAACACTTATACATCCGTTATATATATATTAATGTTGGAATTATATTTGACACCGTATCCTATTTTAATGAGTGATTCAGCTTATTTTATTGAATTTAAACTATTAGATATAAATTAAAAAGATTTAAATTATATAAATTTATTATAATGGAAATTAATTTAAGTGTTTTTAATAAATTTGTTTTTAGATTAAAATTATTTTAGTAATTTATAGACTAAAAATATTGAACTCTCACAAGTAAAGCCTCCTTGGTATATATAAAAGTTGCTTTGTTCTTAAAGTCTTTTGCAACAAAGTAAAAGTTGTAGTGATACATTTTAAAATAGAAAATGTGTTTTTTATGCGTTCTCTTTTTATTTATAAAAAACATATAGATAGTGTTGCTATAAAACAAAGTTTTACTGAAAAAAGTAAAGTATAAAAAAATATATTGCCTCAAGCGGTTCTAGTGATCAATATTTTAAAATATCTCGTAAAAATAAGTCACTTTTATAATATTATTATATATATTTCACATAATTAATAATAATTTTAATACATTAAGGAAAACACTCAACATTAACATACAATGATGAAAAAAATATTACAGATTGAGATTCCTATCACATCATACGAGGATACGGAAGTTGTTTTGGCGAAAAATGGCGGACGATATAACAATTAAATTTAATAGAGCTGTAATATTTTTTAACGAATACATAATTTTACGTTTAAATCATTTAAAGGAATTATTTTATATTTCTTTAAGAACAGATATTTTGTCTTAAATCTTATAGTTTTTTAAAATATTAACATGTTTTGATAAAATCGGTAATAATAACTGTAATTCAATACGTAACTACGGGGTATTTTATTAATTTAAAAGCTTACTAGTTCATGTTTTAAATTATTATGCCAAGGAAAGCTTTTATGTTTATAGGAAAAATAAAAAAGGATTTATTTCATTGCAAATTCCTAATTAATCGTCTATAGGATAATAAATCTAACTATTTATTCAGTTAATAATAAATAAAGGAGGTTTTTAAAAGTATTTTTCTAGAAATCATTAATTCAAATATAGATTTTATAATAAAAGTCAAAACGATAACATAAATTTAATTTTATTGAAATGACTTTTATACTTTTTTTTACGTTACAGTATATGATCGAAAGCTATTCAGCCGAATATTAAAGTTGATATCGCCCACGCCATATTTAAATACCTGTACAATAGACATGAGTTTTTTAAGACATATATAATAATAATTATTACTTATATATAAATATAAAATTATTAAAAATATATTTGGCTGTATGTAGTGGATATTTTCAAGAAAGCTATTAGTTTTGGCGGGCTTTTTTTTAAAAATTTTTCATGTAAGTTTAATGTCAAAGGTTTAATATAGATATATAATAATTATAAAGATTGTATATTACATCTTGTATTAGAATACCGTTAGAATAGAAGTAATTGGTGCTCAGAAATAACCAGTTCCAAGGAATCTTGAACAGTTCCGCGATCCTGACTCTATTTAATTAATCTAAACATAGACAAAAAAGATCTTTAGACACATTTGGATACCATAGACAACATTTTATATAAATAGAGGAAATAAATACGAAATTGTTTGTCAAATTATAGTTTTTTTTATTTTTGTGAATTTAATGTATTTTGGTTCTTTTTAAATTTATAAAATAAAAGTAAACATAAAAGATGTTTGAATTATAAATTATTGTTTCGTTGAAATCACTTTTTGCGTTATAGTTAAATATAAGGAGAAAGGAGATTCATAACTGTTTATTTATAAAATTGTTTTCTTTAAGTTATCTTTATATTTGGAATACAGATTCAGGTATTTGCCTGTGACCGAAACAAGACAAAAAAAATATTTGCCTTTAAAATAGCATAGGAATTTAAGTCTTTTGGTAGTTTTTTTCATAGAATAGTTCCAATTCTCTTAAAAAAGTTTTACTTTTATGGAACATTCATAGCTTTTTGTCTTTTAAAAAGTCGAACTTCTTTAAGATAAAGATTTAGGGCTTCCACTGTGTCTATAATAAATAAAAATATGTAGATATTATAGTAACATAGGAATTCTAGTGTTTTATTAGTTTTTTCATAGAATAGTTCCAATTCTCTTAAAAAAGTTTTACTTTTATGGAACATTCATAGCTTTTTGTCTTTTAAAAGGTCGAACTTCTTTAAGATAAAAATTTAGGGCTTCCACTGTGTCTATAATAAATAAAAATATGTAGATATTATAGTAACATAGGAATTTTAGTGTTTTAGTAGTTTTTCATAGAATAGTTCCAATTCTCTTAAATGTTATGAATTACATTAGCAGTGAGTTCACAGCTGGGTGATGTTATATGTAATAGATGATAATTTGGTCGGTGTATGTGTGTCAGCGTTACCGTTACTCGTGAACGTGTGAAAGTATTCACGCGCTGAGTCTATGTGTTTAGGATCTCTGTAGTAGATAGAGTCCTTACATTATATGACTTGTAATATACGGACACTACATTTATTAGAGACACCACGATATTAACTAGAGGAAGAAGATTATATTTTAATTCAATTCTATAGTTTTGTTTAATGACTTTCGACCAATGACAAAGCTTAAACCGGAACTAGATACTGCGTTCTAAAAGAGGTAGTAATATATTTTGTATAGAAATACATACATATATAATTAAATTTTAATATATTACATTAAATAATTATTTATTTTACTTTTAACTTACAACCTCTTTGGTTGTCAATTTTTTTTAATCTGTGGTATAAACTTTTGTTAGTTTATAAAGTATAAGTAATGGACGACCGCGCTCTACAAAGCACGCGAGCCGTTATAACAACATAACCACAATTGTGGTAATTGAATAATCACTTACGAGTACAGTTATTATAAATAATTGGCATGATTTAAATTATATTTATAAATATTAAATTACTTACTGGAATATAAAAGGAGGTATAATTATGTTCTGGCTGTATGGATTGATTCTTTGCCTTTTGCAGATTAGGATAAAAAAAATAACCTGTCACAATTATCAAATCTTAAACGGGGTGAATAGGACATAATAAAATTTATTTTTCAACAATGCCATACAAATCGAAACTTGTTATTTAAATGATATTTTTTTTTACTTCATCTCAATGGCTGTCTACAAAAAACTGTAGCAGGTATAGATTTAAAAAAAACATTAAATTGAAACAGAATCACAAGTCATCAGTCGTATATTTATTTTAATATGAATTCAATTTCAATATAGATTGTTTTTCGTATGTACTGTTTGTAAATTTAAAATATACTAGTTTTTGCCCGCGACTTCGTCTGCGTTAGTTTCAGAATTAGAAATGTATAGCTGACCGGATGAACTCATTTCCTCATTAAAGACAGTATTGGAAGATTTTGGATTTGATCAACTTATTTTTTTTTCGAATTGGATGAAAAGTATCCTAAGTCCTTCTCCAGGTTCTAAGCTACTTCTTCACGAATTTTCAACACTATCCTAACAGCATTTCTTGATTTATAATTAGTGTAACTAACACGACATCCCTTTGTATAAAAAGGTTTTATATTTTAATGTCTAAATTATGAAGTATTTGAATAATACTAACATTATAACAGATTTTTTTAAATTAAAGTATTATCCTTAATAAACTTAATGAAAAAAATTCATCATGCAAAATCTTGCCGCCAATTATTAATTAATATTCGTTTTATTAAGACTAAAAGCAATAAATAATTCTCGAAATAAAGCTTTGCTCAGAACAAACGAAACAGATGTCAATGTGACGTTTACTTAAGACACAATAAAAAAACTAACAATATATATTTTTTTTAATTTTGTTTCAGATAAAAATGCAAAGATAATCATCAAACAGCCAACATGGGTCCCCCCCTCAATACCTGGCCTTACAGCCTGCATAGAGAACTCAACAGCAGTGATAAAACTATTCTAGTTAATATTGTAGACAATTTACGTAATTTAAGTATAAACTTTACATTTATATTCGTTTTCTTACAAGTGTTCATAAATCTTAGTGCGGTTAGCGCGGGACCTGTTGTACTCAGTTTGGACTATTTACGAGGTGAGTTTAAAAAATATTATATTATATTTAATATTTGATATATCAAAGAGACTTGGTCATAAAAATATTTGAAAATCAAATATTGGAACAATCATTACACATAAAGAACCAAAATGTTTTATTATCTGTATTAAATATGTAAGAAAAGTGCAAGTTAGTTAAAAATTGCTACATCAAAAGTGTAACGAATCATCTATTCTTATGAAGAATGTGAAAGAGAAAAGTGAAAATATTTAGACATTTTGTTTTTATTGTTTGGCGCCTTTTATTGTCAAAGTATTCAGCACATGCTGTACAGCCATTATAAATGTCACAGATTATTAAGTTGTATGAAATCAAGTTTTTTAAAAAGGATAAAATATGTTAAGTCACCTTTATTTAGCCTTTGTATATCTCAAAGTCAATGACAGTTATAAAATAATTTGAATATAATAAAAACAGAATTTTACAATATTTCTTTATTTATAATTGCAAATTAATTTGTTTGTTTTTAAATAACTTATAAATATATTTTTGGACATTGATATTAAAAGTAATGAAAATATATTATTTGTGAATTAAATTTATTTTCTACATTATCTAAGTCAATGATATTTAAATGTTATTATAGTTAAATTAAATCCTGGCAACACTTACTTCAACCTGACAACGTTTTCTACTTTCACTTCCTCTGTCATCTGGGTCAAATGTGTCACTTGACTAAAGTCCACTACATATATTTTTAAATATAACATAAATACTACAACCATTAATAAATTATTAAATTAATACTACATATTTTTAATACATATATATAAATAAAAATACTTTAAATATATTCTAAATAATTAAATTGTAACGAAATGTCATTCTTTTGACACATACGTCCGACATGTTTTTATTTTTCTCGTATCGTTTGATAATAAAATATTAAGTTACAAATGTCATTCTAATTTATGTTTCTATAAACTTATCACATAAAATTTAATAATAAATTAAAATAAATGGTATATATAAAAACTAAGGAGTTGAAGGATTGAATGATTAATTTTTTTTAATTGAAGACTATCAAAAAGTCAAAGATATTCCTTCGTGTTTCCTCACTTATTCAAGATTATAATTCGTCCAACAAATAAAAACATTTACATAGATTATTACACGATTCCAGTGCGAATTAAGCCATAGCATAACAAATAAAAAAAATTGCATTATTATAAAAAAATAAAGATATAGGTATATTACAAATTTCGCATCCGAATTTCGCAAGACATTTTACCGAAATGTCAAACGTTAAACAAATCTTTACATAACAAAAAAAGTTGAGTCAGAGGTCGTTGACCTACATTTCACTAAACTTTTGACTCGAGAGAAATTGTCTCCTCACATATTAACTAGTTGTTGCCCACGACTTCTTCCGAGAATTTAGTTTATTACCTTAATAGTATAAATACTTAGATCTTATTTGAAGGAAAATTAATGATATTAGAGTGATAGATAAACCGACATTTTCAAAAAAATCTGCTTTTTTTTGTTTGCTATTAGTCTTTTTTGTCCTAATAAATATTTTGTTGTTAATAATTTTACCATTCATTTAAAATTTCTTATACATATTATTATGTTACATATTTATTAGGTATATATATCTATAGTTATACTAGTATTTATACTATGAACGTCGAGTATATAACTGTTTCTTAAATTCCCACGGCTAAATCACTGAAGAGATTTTAAAAAGTACAATAGTATTCTTTTTTTATTTAAGAAAACATCTATTCATTCATTTAGGAGAACTTTCGGGTTAAAACAATTAGTATAAAATATAATAATAGCAAAAAGTACGTATTACTTAAATAAACATTGCCATAATAATAAAAACATAATTTTGAATTAATTACTATTAACTTTAAGATGTATGGATGTGTAGAAATTTGTGGGCTTTTCGCACAAAAACCACTACCACATGCCCATATTATAATTATCCACAGATTAAAAAATACGAACAGCTTCCAGTATTACAATATAAACAAGCTGTCAATACTAATATTTTCAAAAATGTGATTAAATACCGTATGAGAAGCAAAAACTGTGTATTTTTTTAGACTATGTACTCTCGTGGTCATTGTACTGTCTTTTGCAGAACTACATATATAATTCCTTCATTACTAACCATAGTATTTTTTTATCCTCTCTACCAAGTCTTAATGCACAAATTTTTAAATAATTGAATTTCCATGGCGCCTGATATTTATCGTCAGCCGATACCGCGGTAAATAACTAGTATAATATGATTCAGAGAGTATATATTTTTATTAATTATTATTTTGCCTCCTCCATTATATTTGAACATTTTATGTCCAAACTAAGTGTGAATTCTTTTTTATTTGCTGTACTACCTTACCTTTCAAACATATTTTTTTACATTTCTGTTTAATAATAACTTGTTATTTGTCTGAGAAGTATTTTTGAAGGGAAAGATAAAATAACTCGTGGAGTCACGATCTCTTTACAACTAGAAGCAGCTCTAATCTACTTCAATTAATTACGAAGTCTTTGATTCGACTCTCTCCCAAAAATCCCACATACGAGTACATTCCCTACTACCATTCGTAGTACCATTTAAATTAATTTCTAATACTTGTAAAGAATTTTCTTTCACGTATTACTATTAATCTGTTGATAAATCATGTTTTATGTCGTGTCACTTGTAGCAAGATGAGTTTTGGACTTTGACATAGATTTGAATTGTAGTTCAATTATGTATTTCGTCTTTTCTGACAAGAAATTGTTCTAGACTTGATACGGCGTTCGTTAGTTTTGGCGGGAGAATCCAATTATTAATATTTAGTATTTCATTCAGTTTTAAATAAACAATGCATTAATTACATCTATTTTATAGTAATCATCGTCACTCCTTGTCAAAATATATTTTTTTGTACCTTCGAAAGTATTTTTATTCTATACATATCTTCGCTTTACAAATTACAAGCAAGAGTTAATATTTTAAACGAAAAAATAATCTTATTAACTAAACTCCAATTAAAAAGTATTAGAACGAATAAATAACTTTTTCATACACACTTATTAATCTGTGACCACAAACTGGCTTCGAAAAAGTACCGTTTAAAAACGTCAAGGTGTTATTTTGACATCTGACATTTTAAATGGGGCTATAATAAATAATAATTGAATATTGATGGCAAAATACATTTATAAGAAAAGATGACTCAAATAATAAAATGGTATAGTATATATTGCATTGGGTTAACGATAAACAATTGAAATTATAAAAATAAAATAATACGAATGAATAATATATGTACTTCTATAACTAGACTAATCTTCAATATGTTTTTTCATGTTAATAGAATTGATCAATTTTTCATTACAGTTTAGGAATAAATTATTAAAAAGTTTTGGATCTTAGGAATGATTAAAATAAATAATTGATATTTATACTGGATACAGATTATATTGTCTTTTGTTTTTTAATGTATGTTGAACGAAGCAAACATCGAGTCTCATTCGTTTGAATATTCTTGCATTTTTTGACGATTTTATATTCCTCGAAGACAAACTACAATAATACGTAGACGTATTTAATCTATGACCCAAAATTAATCAATAAAGAAAGACAATAACATTTTCGTTTATTTTGTTTCGTATTGACGTCCTAATAAAGTCTTAAAGTCCGAATTTCAAGTCCGAATTTCTACTTAAACTTTACATTCAATTACGTATGTTATTGTTTTTTTAAATAAATTATTTTTATTTCAAACATTTAATACAGATAATAAATATATTTTAGACACCAAATGACTACAAATTATAAAATATATATAATTAATATGTGAAAGTTTTTTTCCAAATAATGTATTGTATTTGAAGAGGTCACTTTTTGTTTCATATCAGGTTGCACATGTAAATTTCTGTTGAATCCTTTGCTCATTGTTAGAAACAAATTTTAAATAACTTTTATCGGTAAATTCCAATTTTATTCAACTTAATTTACAAATTTTAAGAAAAAGATCTCCTGTTTCTTGTATGTAATCTTTTAGTTTTTTGTAATGTTATTAAGCCATCTAGTGTATTCTAGACATGCATCATTTAATGCAAGTATTTTTAAACAGATGGCACTACTATCTATTAGATTCTTGAATAAAAACATTAAATTCATGACCAGTTTAAAAAATAAGTAAACCTAGGAATAAAATTTGTACTTTTTACATTGGCATTTAATTAATATCTTATTAATACATTTCCTCTTTTTCAGGTTCGGTGCCAATAGCTAGAAACATAAGGCATTTACCATGCATATCAAGAAAAACTGGCCAAGAGGGACTGTGTATGTTCGCGATAGACTGTCTTAAAGCAAACGGAACTCATTTGGGGACATGTATAGACAGGTTTTACTTCGGTTCCTGCTGCCAGCTGACAGATAAATCTGCTATACCAAATATAGCGGCCAATAATATTGAGGACAACGCGATAGATGGCGCTAGTTTCGTTCATCCGCTCATAGATCATAAAATCCATAGCCATATAAGTAAAAAACCTGATATTATAAACGCGAACAAGCCATTACAAGATGATATCACTACTAAGAAACCAACTACAGTTCTGGAAGCGACTAGCTCAATCAAAATGGAGTCGAAATCTGATGAAAATGTATCTGTTAATAATATAACAAGTGATATTAAGACTACAGAAGCTGTAACAGCTATCAAAGAAGCTACAACACAATCCATGAAAGTATCTGTAAATGAAGTGACAGAGATTCCCATTAAATTGTCAACATTCCAAACAGTATCCGCTGCTGCTAACACAGCAACCGCAGCTCCAGAAACCAAACCCACTAAACCACCAGACGAACCAGTCAAACCAACAAGGAAACCGATCAAACCTACCTATAAACCTAGACCATACAGACCAACTAATTTTACTAGACCTCCAATAAGTCCTAAACCAAAACCGACGAAGCCTATCTCATTATACAATACAACAAGAAAACCACCTTACCGACAGCCCCCGAAACGTAATTCAACCAAAAAACCACTGCCATCACCACCAAGACTTAATATAACAATCATACCTCAATCTACAAGTTCACGACCCACATTTACAAGGCCTTCCTCTAGTGTAATTACATACATCAACTCAACAACACCTAAAGTAGAAGAGCCCCCAGCAACAACAATAAAAATAACTCCAACAGAAACTACAACATTAAAGACCACAACTACAACAACACCACCACCAACAACAACAGTCGCATCTACTACTACATCTACTACAACTACAACTACTACTACTACTACAACCACAACTCCCCCACCAACAACAATCATAACACCAACAACAATCATAACAACAACAGAATCGATCCCAACAGCAACAGAACGCGCCACTATAACAACAGAAAATATCGTAACCGAAACTTTACCCGAAACTTTAGCCACGGAAGAAGTAACAGAGATACCAACAGAAAGAAATACAGAGAGAATTACAACAGAACTCGAACCAAAACCAACAGAAGAGAAAGAGAAAGAAACTGCGACAGAAAGTATCACGACAGTTGTCACAGAAAAGGTGACGTCACAGGATGTCATTGAAAAAGACACCGTAAAACCAGCCACTGAAGTCGAAAACCCTGTGACAACGAAACCAACCACTGACTACCCTCCGTTTGTAACTTGGACCAACGAGGCGAGTTCGAAAGCGCCATCTACTGACAACGACGGTGAGTACAAACTTGATTAATGTAATCAAATAGACTATTAAAAATATGCTTCATATATTATACTAACAGATATGTGATTGAATATATAATATATTATAACTTACGAGAGTACACAAAAAGATATTTTTCACCTTAAATGATATCTGGCATAAGCTACTAACTTAGACAATATCAAGATTTATCAATTTAGTTACAACTTGTTACATTTTATACTTATTTCTGTGTTTCCAAATCATTAATTCTTACTTATTTTTGTTTATAATCTCATCACCACACGACCACGTCACTATAAATCCAAGACATATTTATTATTCGCCAAATATTCAAACCACACTTCATGTACACACAAGCTCACACACAACACAAGCTGATTGAAATTCACGTCGCTCAAGTTCGGGTCAAGAAACTAATTATATTAAACAATACATAAAGATAAAATCATTTCGTTTAACTTGTATTTGTTCTTAAATAAATAAAAATAATTCTTGTTTTAATTATATCTTTATTATATTAGATTATACGTATTTATATAAATCTGTAGCTGATAGAAAGGCTGTGTATATACATGAATAAACTTGAGAGTTGATTTAATTGTGATTGAATTATATAGTACAAATTAATTGTATAGACTTTTAGAAGGAATATGATAATTGTGAGCGAATGTTTTATTATAAAATAAAAAACGAAAATAGTATTATACGTATGAGAAAACTTTTGTCTTCATTTGATTAAATGTACAAAGAGTTGTCATTGAAATGCCCTGGAAGTATATTATGTATGTGTTATATTTATTTAATCTGCAAGAAAACAGAATGAATTTTATGTCAAAATTATATAATATTAATATTTATTAACAGAAATATCACACTCGTTATTTTCTGTACACATCTTAATATCTCTTATAAAACGAATCAACAAATAATAAGTGATTCATAGAGTGATGTTTGAACTTCATTTTTAACTCACGATTGATGACTGAGCTTATACATTTATTATCAGTAGGGTGACACTCATTCAATTTAAACATATTTATAATTATTTAATCATATATAATATATGTATTGAATGAACAAATGTCCGTAATTTCTCTACCTCACCTGGTCGCCCTACTCGTATACTTCTACTATTAGTCATCGAGATAAAAATTCCATTCCCATTTCTGAGTCATTAATTAAAAGATTTTAATGACATTTGTATGATAAATAACTTAAAACAAGTTAGTAATATATTTATTACGATTATTAAATTATCTAATTGATGTCAAGTATAGTAATTACTTTTTATTATAGTATAAAATAGGATTGTTGTAATTTTAATATAATTCTTTTAACTATTTCGTGATACAGACAGTTGGTGTGAATATATTTTTCTAGAAATTACACTTAAATTCTTATACATATACATATTTACATTATTATGTATATAGATTTTAAATCGTATTATTTTAGAAAAAAACTTTGTTACTCTCTACAAAGAAACAGTGTTTTTATCATACACATATGTACTACCATTACGATTTACTTTACCTATCCTAATTCTTATATTCATTACAAAGATATTCCTACTAATACATATTATAAATGGGAAACAAACTCTGTCTGTCTGTTACGCTTTGACGCCTAAACCACTGAACTGATTTTAATTAAATTTGGTACAGAGATAGAGTTGACCTTGTGAAAGAACATAGGATAGTTTTCATCCCAGACTTTTGAATGGTTCTCTTGGAAACGCGATATAAGCGAACTCCACGCGGGCTAAGCTGCGAGCGGAAAGCTAGTAATATATAAATATATTTGATGTAAGCATAAGATATATTTTGTTGCATAACGAATGATGTATGTAGGTGAATCACAAGCGAAGTCGGCTTAGAGAGTTGTATTGCTAGTGTGAAGTCATCGCTTTCTATGGTGACGAAGCTTTGTTAAAAAAACTAAAAAAGGAGGTTTTATATATGTAGATAGCCATTAATCACGTGAATGTTGTTGATACAATAATTTTCTTTTTTATTGTAGAAATATAATAGTTTGATATTATTGAATCAGTACACATTTTCATCAAGCTTCCGAATGGCTATAGATGGCTTAAGAAGAGAAAGTTATCGATTTCGTAGTAATACCGTTATTTTAGCTTTAAGTGTTATTGAAACCACAACGAAATTTAAGTTAAACGACAAATAAAAGACAATAAAATATATCTTTTCCTTAATTTGATAAGAATGAATTCTGCTTACGATGGAAAAAATATGTTTTTCATATTAATTAAGTTTCCGCGATACGTTTTAATTTTTTTAAACAAGTTCAAAAATAAATAGAGAATTTCGGATTGAAACAGATTTCTTATTTATTCGTATCCACTCCGATTACCCCATTTCTATCAAGATACAGTCGTTGAATTTTTTTGTGATTTTGATAACATATAAATTTGCCCAATAGATTACCTATTGATTTTAAAACTGTATTCTTACACATAATGCAGCAAAAATGGAACAATTACCTAAATATTTTGACTTCATATATCGTCATCAGCCTATCAGAGCCTACTGCTGAGCTGCCTCTTCTCACATGGAGAAGGTTTGAGCATTAATCACCACGCCTGCTCAAGACGGGTTGGTGATTTCAAACTTATAATTGTGAAATTATAAGTCCGGGTTTCCTCACGATGTTTTCCTTCATCTGTCAGTGGTGTCTAAATACTCTTATAAAGTACATATGACTCGGAAAAATCACATTGATACTTGTCAGGATCGAACCCGCGCCCTCATGCATGACAGGCGGGCCTTTAACATCTATATTTAATAGCGTGCAACATATTTCGTATCAATTAAATAGTAGAGTATTTGTTAATCCGTATATAACACATTAAGAGACGTTTTTTGTTTTCACTATTAAGATAAACTAGACACGCACAAACACACACACACACACACACACACACACACACACACACACACACACACACACACACACACACACACAAACAAACATACACAAAATATCTGTATTTCTATAACAATCTATTTATATCTTTAGTTATAACAAACGGTAAATCTTTTCACGTTTGTCGTGATCTTCGGAAGTTTTTTCGTGATAAACTAAAAAATATTTAACTGTTAATATAATATAATAATCTCAGTACATTCAACTTAAAAAATACGATTTAATTTTATTACAATCAGTGCTAAAGTCTGCCTAAGTTCCAATTGAAATAGTACTGTTACAAACTATTTATTAACCCTTTTTGTTGCTATTCATTTATTTAGATATAATATAATAAATATTATAAATCTCCTATATTATATAAGTATACTATGTAAGTCTTTTTAAATGAATGGTGTCTGCAAGAATGAATGTGTTTTGAATGATAGAAATTGATTCTTCGCGTAAAGTCGAGGTGTCAATGCGCTAACTATTTTTTATTGAACCTTTATGAGCAATATTAATAGATGTATAATAATCGTTTCAACTTTCTTCACATATGATATACTTATCTTTTAAAACTTGAATAAATAGAGTTTAAATTGTAAAGATTACTGACCAATACTAGTGTCGAGTATATTTGAACCTATTTATTACCTCTATATATGTATTTACATATTTGTATATAATATAACAGTAAAAATATTCTTTATATATGTATATATTTCAGATTGGTCCCCAATCACACCGCCCGACGGTTGGGTCTTAATATCAACGATGTCTCCAAAACCTGAAACAACAACAACAGTTAGACCACAAACAACAGAAGCTGAAACACAAAAACCAACTTCAGTTGTAACTGAAGCGACTTCAATTTTAACATCAACTTCAACAACAGCGTCACCAACATCAGAAATTGAGTTTGTTGTAAACGTGACGCTGTCCCCTACAGCGCCAATTCCTACGTCAAGCATGGCGCCAACAACAGAAACAAATGTCACTTCGCAAACAACAACAACAACACTAGCTGGTAAGCTTGATATAATATATATTCTTTTATTAATATGTACTTATTTATATATAAATTGGTTTTATTCATATTAGTTTATTTTCATTTTTTTATGATAAGCAAAAATTTCATGTCATTTAGAATGATATACATTAAAGTTTAAATAAGAGAATTGAGCTACAGAATTATACAGATTTTATATAATATTATTTTAGAAAAAACCTTGATTATTATTGGGAATTTTTATTAGAATCCGACTATTTTTATAATAGGTATAATATTTTTTTTAACAGCTCTTACCACTATAGCTAACGTGACGACCACAGAGGCTACAACAACTATTAAAACGACCACAGAATCATACAACATGTCCAATTACAAAGAAGGTTAGTATAGAAAATAATATATATTTAGAGATATATAACATTATTGATGATTTTATATTTATTAATCAGTTATTCTACATACAAAAAAATTGTGAAAATTTCTCATATTAATTTATTGTCAATATATCATAAATTCCCTTCCGATGATTCTGTAAAAGCCAATAGGGCTAGCAACAACAGACAAGGCGACATAAAAAAATATTAAAAATAGTATTTTTTTTATATATATAATTAATAAATATTATTTCATTAAGTACCATATTAATATTATATTTAAACAAAAACACGGCAACTCAAGATATGATTGTACATCAGGTTCTATAACCTTAAACTCCTTCCTTGTAGAGATAACAAAAAACTTTATAATTTTGCAACAAAATTCTAACCTTCTAAATGTTAATCATAATGACAACTGAATTATTCTAAAAATAATTATTAAATGAATTCAAATAGAGAAAAAATTAAGTAATTTTTTATTATAAATTCGATTATGCGACGTTCTTATTTTAATTTGCGTCTTTTAATAATGAGATTGAAGTGAAAAAAGGTTTTAGTTTCATGAAATCGATCATAGAAAAGTTAATGTTACTGGCAGTCAATAAAAAAAAATTAAATCAAAATCATCCTTTTATTAAGGATTTTTAAATAGGTATTTAAACAGGTCAAAGAACTAACAAGTAAAACACATGTAAACATTAAAAATATAATAAGATTCAAACAAAGACTTCTCAGACGGTATTCGACCGACCGTAAGGAAGCACTGTATGTAATTATTAAGTTTTTTTTTATCGCAATTTGGACCAAAGAGTTTTTATATCGTCATTCTGCCAATACAATAAATCATAGTTTGTGTTAAAAAGTGTTTAGTAACAGAATAGTCAATTTGATTTATAAATCAAGATGTTTTATCAGCTGCCAGAACTAAACCAGTACAGTGATAACAAGTGTTTTAAATTGTTTGTAATTTATGAAATTTCCCGCCCACATTGACATATGTATAAAAAGAAAGACCAAGTTATAACAGTTAGAAAATATAGCAACGAAGAAGCTTAAAATATTAATTCAGTTAAAAATAAAGTGATACGAGTTTTAAAAACATCGCGTCAAATACAAACCCAACCAAGTGTGACACATGTCAAAGACATTAAAACTCTTTGGTCGTAAAAGACAAAAGAGTTTTATATCAATCACCAAGGAGGTTACAATGTTTATAAACTCAACGTTACTGATGCTGGCAGTATGCGGTAGGCGCATGTGGCCGCAGGCGAGGATCGTCGGCGGGGCGAAGTCCGGCTTTGGGCAATGGCCCTGGCAGATATCGTTGAGACAGTATAGGACTTCGACCTACCTCCATAAGTGTGGAGCAGCTTTACTGAACGAGAACTGGGCTATCACAGCCGCTCATTGTGTTGACAGGTAAGAAGTTTTAAACATTGAATAACTACGTAAATATTTATGTATAGCATTATCTAAATCCTGCCAAGTACCAATGTGTTTTTTCGAAGTCATATGTACTTTCTGAGAGTATTTAGACATCACTGATAGACGGTGAAGGAAAACATCGTGAGGAAACCTGGACTTATAGTTTCATAATTATAAGTTTGAAATCACCAACCCGTCTTGAGCAAGCTTGGTGATCAATGCTCAAACCTTCTCCATGTGAGAAGAGGCCTTTGCTCAGCAGTGGGCGTCTGATAGGATGATGAATGTTGATTATCTAAATCGCATTTATATTCATATATATATATACTAAGTTAAATTTAAAAAGTTTTTTTCGTCTCAACTTATAAAACTGATATTTTAAAGTCCTCAAAATATATATTTCAGAATATTTTTCATAAAAATTATAATCATAAATAAGGAAACTAATTATTATCATACTAATCAAGGAAAATACGTGATAAATTACTCTCAGTTATTACATTGACCTTATTTGATATAACGTTCGCAACATAATTACAACGTTTACCTCAAATAGAAAAAAATATATGAATATATTCTTTATAAGTGAGAACTACAATGAATAAAAAAATATTTTATCTGATACCCTTTTTATCAAACAACTATTCGTAATATATCGATCCTGGCCCGGGAAAAAGTACCAACGTGATTTATCCGAGTCATATGCACTTTTTAAGAATATTTAGACACCACTGATTAATGCATTCCCAAAGAGGGTTGATGTCAGTCAGGCGGACAGTCGTAAAAACAATTAGCCAAAACTATTCACAACATGTAAGGCAGACAGGCTATAGCCAGGAAATTGCCAGGTAGAAGAAGATTAAATAGTTATAACAACAATTCCTTTTTCTCAGGGTACCTCCATCGGAGCTCCTGGTGCGTCTAGGTGAATATGATCTAGCTAATGAAGATGAGCCTTACGGCTTCGCTGAGAGGCGAGTCCAGATAGTCGCCAGTCATCCTCACTTCGACCCGGCTACCTTTGAATATGATCTGGCTTTACTGAGGTTAGTTTTGTTATATATACTTACGTGTGTGTGTATGTGTGGGTGTGTACGTGTGTGTGTAAAACCAAATGATACAATTCATACATCATATTATCTAAGGTGTGAGGTCTTGGTCAAAGAGAATATTTTAAAACCATTTCATTACACATTATAGATAACTTAGTATAATTATAAACACCATATAATAGATAATTATGTATATATTCAATTTATTTCTAAAACCACATAACATCACATTTTAAAATCAGTCCCACAACATTACAAACCATTTCATAATCATCGTAAACCACATTCTGAAACCATTTCATAGCCATTATATTCTGAACCACTTCATAACACATGTGAAACCATTTCATCGTCAGGTTCTATGAGCCGGTTACGTTCCAACCGAATATTCTTCCCGTGTGTGTGCCTGATGATGATGATACTTACGTCGGGAGAACAGCCTACGTCACGGGATGGGGACGTCTGTATGACGGTACGTACATAAAATTAGATTAAAACTAAGATATATATAAAGAATCAGTGATTTTTTTAATCATCTATATCCCTACTAATATTATAAATCCGAAAGTAACTCTATCTGTCCGTCTGATACACTTCCACGCTTAACCACTGAACCGATTTTAATGAAATTTGGTACAGATATAGAGTTGACCTTAAGAAAGAACATAGGATAGTTTTTATCCCATACTTTTAAAAGGTTTTCTTGGAAACGAGATATAACCGAATTTCACGCGAGCGAAGCTATGGACGGAAAGCTAGCAATATATAAAAGGAAGTTGTGTTAGTTTCACTATTTATAACTCAAGAAGGGCTGTAGGAATGTGGCTGAAGATTGGTGGAGATAGCTTTGAACAAGGAGACGGACATAGGATATTTAATTCTATTCGATCTAAAAAGAAAAAAACTTAATATATTCCAATAACCAGATTATTTACTGACTCTAGGGGGAATAGAGATCGCCTGATCATCTATACATATATGACTAATCCCAAAATTTATTCGAACGAAGTCACGAGCAAATACTAGTATGAGATATTTTCATAGTTATATCTCTTATTTTCAGAGGGTCCTCTACCGAGTGTGCTTCAAGAGGTCGAGGTGCCTGTGATCAATAATACAGCGTGTGAGAGTATGTACCTAGCGGCAGGGTATAATGAGCATATACCAAACATATTCATATGTGCCGGATGGAAAAAGGGAGGTTCGGACAGCTGTGAAGGTATGATAAAATATCTATAGACAATATCATCTATATACTCTATCTATGACACTATGAGATCTATGACTCACGTAATAATATATCCATAGACAATATAGATTTCATATTTGATCTATGTCATACAATAATGAGATTTTACACTCACATATTTAAATGATACTGATATTTTCGTATTACTACGCCTTATTGTATCTCGTTTGCAAATGGTCATTGCAAAGTTATTGAAATTTCGAGTGTATGTAGTTTAAAATTATAAAAAAAGCATAGTATACGAAAATATTACATAGTTTCAATTCTATGCCATAGCAACAAGACATACACTCCACACATAACATACAAGATTATACTATATAACAATATAAACGAAAAAAACATGCTCATTAAAATGCACATACATCATAAAAAACACTATAAAATACATGCTATAGAACACCAAACACACAACAAGCCTGCCAGTCTAAGTCTCATTCATTCATTCATTCATTCATTCATTCATTCATTCATTCATTCATTCATTCATTCATTCATTCATTCACTCATTCATTCACTCATTCACCAGGCGACAGCGGTGGACCGATGGTAGTTCAGAGAGCACGAGACGATCGTTTCGTATTGAGCGGTGTTATCTCATGGGGTATTGGATGTGCGGAACCAAACCAGCCCGGGGTCTACACGAGGATATCAGAGTTCAGGGATTGGATCAACCAGATATTACGGTTCTAATAGGGAACCCTAATTAAATTGGAAGTGTAGTGAAATTTATTTCTCTCATTTTTGGACCTATTCTACTTTTTTGCTCAGGATTTTTGTCTGATATTCCAATTTACGAGAATGGAATTAAATTATTCTTTATAAATAATATTTTCGTAAATCTTGAATTTATCTTTGACGATCAATGTCAATTGATACATGAAATTAGATGCATAATAAAAGATATAGACTTTATATTAAATATTTTGTAAGGAAAATTTAACTAGTAACATAAACAACGAATTTAATTTACTTAGTTTATATTTTGGCGAATATATTTTAATTTTTTTTTGTAATATATATTTATTTTTTTAAATTAAAAAAAACTAGATTAAGTTAGGTTATCGATAATGCCGAATTTTTTTGATTATTTTTATATAATATTCCGTCCTTTAAATGAATAAATCAATTTTGTTGTAAATAAATAAATGCATTTATTATATATTTTTTTAATATAAGCCATAATTGTAATAAGTGGTTGATTTTTTCGACCTCAGTGAATATTTAAATAAAAATCTTTAAAAGCAGCATACCTTTTTTCTTTTAACCATTTAACCAAATACGACTCTTATAGGAAAGTAACTTTTGTTCTTTCATTAGGCCTTAAACCCATAGCGCCTTGTGTGTTACCACTATCAAAAGCCAAGGTTGCGAATCTTTCTTACAACACAAGCCATGCTCTATTTGGTAAGGGGAATGACCTCTCCAACTCTCAAGCCCCTGACTATCACAAGAATCATCCCCATAGGCCATAGCAGACTTCATTGAAGCCAAGAAGAGATTAATAATAAAGACCACGTCATATGCCCTTGAAGACCCTTATCCACAGCAGAAGGAAACGAAATCCTTGAAGTAGCTGTAACTAATCACACTCTGTATTGCACCTTTTAGATCGAAGAAAAATAAAGTTCCAATCACGTAGGCTTAAACGACAAACTTCAAGTTGAAATGACCTTATGAGTAATTAGGTTTTTCTTCTAATACTCATTAGCCATATCTGCCTACCACTACCTATACACATTTACTCTATCCACTAGTTATATTCATAATTTGTAGGATATCTTACGAAATTGTATAAGTAAATGTTATTGCACTAAATTATGATGAAAATGCTATAAATCTATTGCGTTTAATAACAAATCCTTACTCACACTACACTTATATAATTTAATTTGATCTTAAGTTCATACACATGATGTAGTAGTAAAAAAATATTTGATTAATTCAATAAATATTAAAAGTAATATATTACAAGTAGGTAAGTATCAATAATCAAAAAATTACTTATTCATCAATCATTCTCCCTATGACCAGTGTTACTTGACATCTGCCATTAAATGGTCTCAACAAAAATTTTAAGTTAATTTAAGTATGTATATAAAAGTTATTATGTACTTTACCATGATTATTTTAAACTGAGAAAGTTGTATAAATATCCACTAATACAGATATATCCCTGATACCTTATTGTAAGGTATACCTAATTAAAAACATTTATAGTTCACAGAAGATACATAAACATTGTTTAATTTTAAATATAAATCGTTATTTCAATAAATAACTAAAAGAGTGTTATGTGACGGTGTCATAAGTAGTCGTTTAATTAAAATATAATTATCTTTATACGGTGTTATCAGAGGACGCCTTAGCTTCTTGGTAAACTCGTCTATTCTACACGGGTCTGACTCAACAGTTCCGCGTGAAGACAGTTTTTGGTTTTATATTTCTTTTAAGCTTTTATTTTTATATTTCTTTTAATAATTTAATTAGAATATTGTTACTATTTATTCAACCTTTTGCAGCATAGGCGAACCCTAGTTGTATTTACTTTATAATTAAGTTAAGTCAAATAATTTTGGTTTCATTGCATCCACCAACCGTCAAAATATAATTAGAGTAAAAATATATTGAAGTATCCTGTATAAAAATATTTATAAATGTAATTATACAGTTACTTTTTAAAAACTACATTTAATTTTAATACGTAAACATTTAGGAATAATACGATATATTGTGTATGGTAAGACTTAAATCTATCGAAATGACTCGGTAAATGTTGAAAAATTCGATCTTTTTTCAACCAGTGTAACTGGTAGAAAGAAAAAAAATAATTAATATACTTAAAAAACAATAATTGTATATTAGATAGGTAATAGGTTGTTGTAATGACATTGTCGGATCATAGTAATAACTTTCAGACATTGAACATTGTCCATTGTGATTTGTGGTGTCAAACCTGAAAATATTGGAAATAATATCATTAAAAAAAAACTTACAACGTTCGCGTTACTGTTTCTTGTGTACTTATCCATTTAGAAAATGCTTTTCGTGTACTAAATAACTAAATAGTTAAATTTTACAACGGCTACAAACAAATGTAATGATTTTTATGAACATTAGTCGGATTAGCTTACAATAGGAATAAACTTAAAACTGATGACTAGATGGCGCATTGCCAAAAAAGTTACAACGCCATCTAGTTTCATTTTAAGCAATAAAACCAGGAGTTCTGAATCACGCTAACGATGTTTTTAAGGTTCGTGACTATATATACAAAGTTGAAAGCAGGACAAGTGTACTCGCTTCGGCAGTACATATACTAAAATTGGAACGATACAGAGAAGATTAGCATGGCCCCTGCGCAAGGATGACACGCAAAATCGTGAAGCGTTCCACATTTTTTTGACAATTTCACATTTTCCAATCTATTGTTACCTTTTATGTTTAATTGATATATGTACAAGTGTCTTATGTTTTTTAACTTCTATTTTAAATCACACGGTGGAGATCGCTCTGAAGGTGTGTGATAATGGATTTTTATTGATTTTATTTTTAACTTTTAAAACTAATATATTCTTACAACTGTTATCATCGTTCTTCAGTATTGAGTCGTACAGTGATTATTATATGTAATCCGATTTACTTTTCGATTTATCAGAGTATGGATCGGAATTATTAGTGCCTAGAAATAAAATTAATAATAAATATTTTTAATAATTAATTCCTGAGCAATGTCGTTGTCCCAAATATTTTGTTTATTGCTGTATTCTTCCTCGTTTTGGTAACCTTGCTTTCGGCTAATGACTGGTACCTAGGCTGGTGCAGATCCTCTCGGGGCATGGTTGCTTTGGGAGGTATCTGTGCCACATAGTCGGAAGAGAGCCGACAGCGACGTGTCACCACTGCAGTCGCGTGGAAGACACCGCTGACCACACCTTGATGGAATGTCCAGCGTGGATATCTGAGCGGAGCCAACTCATCCGCGTGGTTGGCGCAGACCTTTCGTTGCCGGCAGTGGTCCAGGCCATGGTCGGCAGCGAGAGGGCATGGCAGGCGGTGGCCGACTTCAGCGAGAGAGTCATCTTGCAGAAGGAGGCTGCTGAACGAGTGAGGGAAGACGACCCCTCCTCGGCGCCGCTGCGCCGACGAAGGCTGGGTCGAAGGCAGCGGGCTTATGCTCGCGACCTGCCTCCCCAGTGAGGAAGCCTCCGGCCGTCGGTGGGGAACCGGCGTCCGGGTAACATAGGCTAGAGGAAGAGCGGCGTGTTTGGCGTTCCCGGCACACTGCTCTTGAGTCGGAGGGGTGGTGTGGTCAGCCACTGATACCCCTGCCGATGGCGGAGTCCCTTTCGGGACTCGTGCGTAGTGAGCGGAAGTATGGCTTGCCGTTCCCGCTCACTAGTCTACGCACAGCGCAGAGAACGCCGAGGTGGTTTAGTGGGTGGAAATCCCACATGCCCCTGTCGCGTTTCCCCCGCGGCAGGAAGTCTTTAAAAGATTCCCCTCGTAAAAAAAAAACGAAAAAAATGACTGGTACCTAATATAAATGTTCCAATATTCAATGTGCTATTATCATAATAAGTGCCGATGATTGGTGGCAGATTACAAGACCTTGATCACGTCTACTGTAAAGGTAACGAAAGGTCGGGTTTATGAATTTTGTTACAAATAATAATAAAATGTTTTAGTATCCAAAAAGCTTACTCATTATTACAGAATATTACTAATATATTTATAATTAATATATAATATATTACTCTCTGCTTTGAGTTTTTTATCATAGTAATATTTTTAAAGACTTTTAATTAATGACTCAGAAATGGGAATGGAATTTTTATCTCGATGACTAATAGTAGAAGCAGACGTGTAGGGCGACCAGGCGAGGGAGAGAAATTACGGACATTTGTTCATTCAATACATATATTATATATGATAAATAATAATAAATATGTTTAAGTTGAATGAGTGTTACCCTACTGGTAATAAATGTATAAGCTCAGTCATCAATCGTGAGTTAAAAATGAAGTTCAAACATCACTCTATGAATCATTTATTTGTTAATTCGTTTTATAAGATATGTGTACAGAAAAAAACGAGTGTGATATATTTGTTAATAAAATATAATTAATATAATTAATTTCACTCATGATTACTCATATACATGTAAATTTTAACTTTCATTCTGTTTTCTCACAGATTAAATAAATATAGTACATAATATTATACTTCCAGGATATTACAAGTGAAACTCTTTGTGCAAAAAGACTAAGTAATTAAATGAAATGAAAACTTCTCTCATCATTATATACAACGCATGTATATTATACAAATATATTCTTAAATAATTACATGCCTTCTATAAAGTAAGTTTATAGCCTATAATTTAATTACAATTAATCAACTTTCATGTTGTTATTAAATGTTCCAATCAGTCACACGTCATGTAATTCGTGTTTAAAGTATTCAATACACAATACTCACAATTTCTCTCACACAATACATACAACACTTCATCTCCAGGCATCTACATACATTTATATAAAACAATCATTCATCTATCATACTATAATATTTATTATATTCATGTATATACACAGACTTCCTATTAGCTACAGATTTATATAAATACGTGTAATCTAATATAATGAAGATACAATTGATCCAAGAGTAATTTTTATATATTCAAGAACAAATCCAAGTTAAACGTAATGATTGTATCTTTATGTATTGTTTAATATAATTAGTTTCTTGACCCGAACTTGAGCGACGTGAATTTCAATCAGCTTGTGTTGTGTGAGAGCTTGTGTGTACATGAAGTGTGGTTTGAATATTTGGCGAATAATAAAGATGACTTGGATTTATGGTGATGTGGTCGTGTGGTGATGAGATTATAAACAGATATAAGTAAGAATTAATGATTTGGAAACACAGCAATAAGTATAAAATGTAACAAGTTGTAAGTAGATTGATAAGTCTTGATATTGTCCAAATTAATAGCTTATGCCAGATATCATTTATATTTTATTCTAATATAGATTTAAGAAACCCTACTACAAATAGTCATGGTAGTCTAGTGGTTAAACTTTAAAGGCCCGCCTCTCGTTCAAAAAGGCTCGCAAATTGGCAAGTATTCTAAGCCGTTTCCAGCATCCACAAGAAGTCCATTCATATCGAGGCGGCATTATTATGATATGGGCTGGTATTCGTATCGGTGGTCGAATTAATCTCATTTGGATAAGAGGGAACATGAATGCACTGGAATATCCCAAGGAGAAATTGGAACCTGTGATTATCCCATACGGGGTACAAATTTGTCAGAAATTCCAACTCACTCACGATAATGCGAGTGCCCATATGGCTGAGCTGGTATCAACTGTTCTTGCAAAAAGGGCCGTTCAAGTATTACGTAAGCACTAGGGAGGGGCGGGGCGTCTTTGCTTTGCTTATTTTGGATAACATAGGGGGTAGGGGAGTC